CCTTCTAGAAATACCGGACCACGAATTTTTTCCGTCGAAATAGACGTTTGGCTTGATTGATGCTCTCAAAGTCTGGACCAGGTATCCAAATCCTTCTAACTGCGTTGTCATTTCTTGGTGTTGTCCAGCGGCTTCCATCCAGTTTTCGGCCATTTCAGTTCGATAAGTGTTCGGGCGCCAATATAACGTTGCGCGCCTCCAACTTGCACGCAACCAAGAGGTGACTGTGAAAGCTTGTATAAAAGACAGAGTCTTGTAAGGGTTTAAGTCCCTTTTTATTCAACGTACTAAATTACAATTGCGTTCTCTTGACGCTTACAGACTGTGCCAACTTGGCAGTCAAAATAAAAATAAAACCTGAAAAGAAAGTAAAGACAATATTCTAACTACGAGGCTCTCTAAAATAACTAACTCACCGCGTTTTACAATACCGCTGCTAATTCAGCAGACTTGAAGCTCACTGGAACGATTACCAACTACTTCCCGCCAAGCACATAGGCCGCAACGCGGGGTTCTTTCAATTCTCTATAACTACCTCCGCGCTCGCTAAGTAAGAATATCACACACCCGAACTTGTTTCCTTCTATTTAAATCAATACTTCCGCTGATAATTTGAATCCTTGCGCGTTCTACTCAAATTTACATATTCTGGCATTGGCAGTTCCAGGGGAAAGTAAGGCTTGACAGGAAAGATAGTTTAAACTTAAAATAAATGTTAGTTAAAATAAATATAAACCCTACAACATTAAGGAATAAATTCGAAATCATAAATGGATTTCTTCAAGATATAATTTACATTTATTTTAACGTATCTTTGTGAATAATTTTGCTAATTGAATAACACTGATATTAAATGTAAAATTACACTAATAAAAATTTGTGAATGAATTTTCCTATAAAACATTTATATCTTTAAAATACAATGCATGTTAATGAGAGTACTGTGTTCATACATTTTTACGAAATTGCAGAAATCTGCTTGTGCGCTATATATCTGTGTATGGTTTATGAGATTATCAGGAAAATAAACAGGCATCATACATACATTAATAATATTTTGTTAATTAGCAATATAAGGAAATTTTTCAGTTTCCCCGTAATTGTCATATTATTTTCCAATTATTTTCTTATTGTATGACTATAAAATTTAGTGTTTATTCTTTTTCGGATTTTCATATTTAAACTATAAACATTTGAAAATTTAGCTGTTTTTATCGAGTACCTTTTAAAGGCTCTTTGACTAACTCTGATTCCTTGATGTGAAACAGCAAAATAATTTTATATCAAAAAATGAAGACATGTATATCTATTTAGAAGTTTAAATAACTTTCGTTATTGTCTATTAGCAACATGTGGTTTTAACGATGAGAATATTACTTTATTTTTGCTTTTTTTAATCTATCATTAAAGAGCTTTTGTTTGCTCTTAGAAAGAGAAATAAATTTTAATGAACAGTTTATCATCAAGGCTTATTGGGGGGGGAAGCTGACCTGTACACACTTGACTTCCTTGCACGAAATATTAATATGCACGAAATATTAATTAGCATTTTTTGCTACATTTCATTTAAACTTATTTCCTCGAATTTCAACAGAGATATTTTTCGTTCAATTAATTCAGTTCTCACTAAGTGGCAAGGCAAAAATTTGTAAACCCTAAAAATAGGGCAGAAACTGACTTAATTCACTACTCTACTAAGTTTCAAATGTATAAAAATATGGCTGCTCTAGTAAAAAACATTAGGATTAGTCGTACCTAAATAACTTTAAAATTTTTGATAACTCTACAAATATTGCATGCAGATTACCTAAAAGCATAAAAACCTTAACCGGAAGATCAGAACACGTTTTCAGAAAGAGCAAAAGATGGTTGCGTTGCCATCCCACACAGCCGTAATTTTTCTGCTTTATTTAAACCAGAAGCATTATTATCGGTCAAATTAATTTTTGACTTCAAACGAAAGCAGTTGTAAAAAACTTTAGTTTTATTTATTTTTTTAATATCGAACGGTTAATTTTTTTATTAATAAGCCTGTAGAGTGAAAATGCATTGATAAATGAACTTAAATTTCATTTTGTCGACCTTACTTTTAAATAAACGATAGCAACTGACAACAAATATCCAAATATATGAAAATGACAACTATATATGAAATATATGAAATGAAGATAAATTCTAATTCTCTTACTGACGTCCTCTGTGAAAGGATGCCTTATTTTTGTCAACTTAATTATTATTAACTTTCAATTGCTGATGAAAATATAAATTACTGCTTTAAAGAAACATGCTTCATCAAAATTAAAATTCCGTTTTTATCGCTGAAATTAATTTTAAATGATAACTAAAAGTGGAATAGAAATACTCATATTTATGTTAGTTAATTTTTTTTTACCGAAACAAGTACGAAAATTATATGCATGTGTAACATTAAGTAATTTTACAGCGACAATGACTGAATATACAAAGGTAAGACCTAAATTTCTTCATTTTTATTTCCTTGTACGAAATAAAGGAAGTATTGTAATCGCGAATCATTTTGGGTATCACATTTCAACGAAAATATCCATTCTGACTGCTCTCGAATCCATTTGAACGATGTTTTTGTGTGACATCTGTACGTTAGGACAGAATAAAGAACTCTTTTTCCCAAAACGGATTTAAAGTGGATTCAGGAGAGATTTTCTCGTGACGTCTGTACATACGCTGTAGAGACATTAGGTTATTTCGGAGCAGGAGAACGTGAAAAATGAGGAATGCCCACGTCGGGACTCGAACCTCGGACCTCTCGAATACACGCCGAGCGTGCTGACCATTACTCCACAAAGGCATGCTAAGAAGGCGGAAGAAATACCTTACAACGTATGTATGTATCTCGCGTAACTCAAAAATGAGTAGCTTTAGAACATTGAAATTTCGTATATGAAATTACTTTGTTTCTTTTCACCATCGACGGAACAGCTGGTCCACTGGGTTAAGTGCTTTTCAGCCTGTTGGATCCCGTCGGTGGAATTAAAAGTAAATATATGAATAAATATAAATAAAGAGCTTAGTATTGTGTCCTCCGCCGATCGGCCACGAAACGAGGAACATTGAAATAAGAACCAGAACATAGAAAGAAAGTGCATGGTGGGGACTGCTGAGACTAAGCGGAACACTTTTCACTAGTATCGTACGTGTTAGGCATACAGTTATATTATGTGCAATAATAATCAGGTGCAGATGTAAAGATGATCAAATACATTACAAATTGTGAAATACATTACATGAGTTCTGGATTAATCATAATATTAAATATAATTAAAAACAGGAAAAAAAAAAACAAGACATTAAGTACATTAATATATGTGCGGAGCGGACTGCTGACGATACGGTGTCCAAGAAAAGAAGTCACTCCAGGCTGTTAGCAATGCTTTTAGCAATGGTAGTGCAGTCTCTAATGCGGCTGAGCGCATATTTATTCTTAATTGTGCTCTTGCATATTGATTGCAGTTGGTCTTTTTAAATGTGAATTCTCTGAGTGCGACCAGTCAAACAGATAGTGATCTGGGTCACCAGTACTGCCACAAATACATTAGTCACTATCTCTTAGGCGAAATCTGTGAAGATAAGACATATATGGGCCATGCCCTGTCAGATACTGTATAAGGTGCGAAGAGCTGCTATTTAAATTGTGGTTAACTTTTGGTTGGAAATCATAGTCTTCTGCCTGTGGTGCTTGTCTTCCGGTAGCTTAGCCACTGCTTCATTAGTTTACATTTGAGAGTAGTTTTCAGATACGAGTGCCGAAGGGGCACATCAATGCCACTCACGTGGGGTTCATTGGCTGCGCCTTTCGCAATAATATCCGCTGCGTCATTTTCTTTAATCCCCATATGGGCTGGAACTCATTCTAGCTGGAGCCTCAGACTTGCAGGACTGGAAACTAAATGAGTAGCTTCAGAACTATAACATGGAATTACTATAACATGTAGACGCAGTTCCCTTTTTGGTTGCAATCGGCTGCACCAAAAATATGTAAATATATATACTCACTCTGTTATCCTCCTCGGTGAGCTCAGTTTTTTATTCTTATCTTTTAGTAAATTGTGCATTTTCTGCTGTAAATGTGATTGGATTATGTTGTTCTTATTTTCCGGTTAAGGTTTTTATGTCCTTATTCTACAATTTAGAAGTTGTTTAAGTATCACTAAGCCTAACGAAATCTCCATTTGTTTACATTTGAAAAGCCTTAGTAGAATAGTGAATTCAGTTTCTGCAACTTCAGTGTGTCTTTTTGCCAATTGCGACCGAAAGTAAACTTTCGGTTTGTGCACCGAAAAATCTGCCTTCTTGTCGGCTGGTCGAATTGCTTATTTTTGCGAAGAAAGTGTTATTTTCGCACTAAATAAATTTAAGATCATACAACATTATATATATATATATGTATTCCTTGCTTTAACTGTATTTGGTGTTTTAGATTTTTATCGAGAAATATATCTCTAATGAAATTCGAGGAAATAAGTTCAAAAGAAATGCACCAAAAATGTGTATATTTTAATACGCCATTCAAGGGAGTCGTGGTGTATACATCTATTTTTTTAGAACTAGGATGATATATTTTAGAAATGTTTTTGCTCACTAATATGTGTTACATACATAAATAATCAAATATATATATATATATGTATCCATTTCTGATTATTTGATCAAAAATGTTTTTAACCAGTTCCATTTCAAGTAATTATGCTATAATGATTCAGTTATATTTCATGAATGACTTTTAAGTAGTATTATTTTTATGATATTCATGAAGCTTTTCTGCTTAATGTTAATATTAACTTCTTCAAAATTTGTTAAAAATCGCTGAGCAAAACTAGCAAATTAAGAACAAATAAAGTTAAAATACGAAATTAAAAAATTGTATGATAACTTGGTAGTAACTATCTTATTTGCAAAAAGAATTAACGGCATAAACCTGGACTTTAATGTTTAATTCATTTTTTTTTTGTTTTATTTGATAGGAGGCGTAGAGCGCTTACATCTTCTGTGCCCTCAAGTAGTAAGTTTTGTTTCATAACTTTACGTATTGATATAAATAATAATAATAATTCTGATGTATGTGCATTTGCAATTAATAAACTTTTCTCTTTAGATGCTGTAACCATCACTTGTATTAGTAACTATGGAACTACATCAGGTAAATTTCAGAAGATCGTGTTATTAATTATTTGAAAATGAAAATTGGGTTAAGGTAATTAGATCATGTTGGGAGAATCGGTTTTGAATTAAAAATATTTTCATGTTAAGACTATTTTTCCGGCATTACGAAATAGTGGTGAAGATATTGAGTCACAATGTCAGGAACACAAGAGTTGTGATTCATTTTTGTGGGATATATTTGTAGCTTTGCTCACGAGAGTTATGAGAGGTGCTATATATAGTTTCGATTTTCCCATTCTCTCTATATATGAGCATTTAGTAAAAATATTGTTACGAATTTTATATTTAGATAGCTAATTTTAGTAGAATTATAATTAAAAATGTTGTATTTCCCCGTGCATTGCAGCTCGAGACAAATTTTAAGAGAAAACTATGCCGGAAAAGTAAGAATACAAGGGCACGTGCATTTAACTATGAGTAAATGGAATTCGGTAATTGTATTGAAATTAAATAAAAAGAATTGCCACTAGTAGCGTAACCGTAATTTCATCCTCTTCTCGCTTTCCAGTAGTTTCGAGAAACAAAGTACTAGAAATATCTCGCGACCGGTTGAAAGCCATAAAAGGCCCGAGAGAAAGCGTCTGATTCAGTTGCTTCGTTACTGTTGTTGGGAATAATTTCCCCGTGAACTGAGATATCAGAGTTAGCTTTCGCTTTAGATGCGCATTGCATTGTATTTAACAGTTTTATTAGTCTGAAGTATAACTACTGCTTATATTGCATGATATCGTGAACACTTGTACGAATATCTCTGAGAAAAATTCCAGAGTTCTGATATATTTCTTTTGATAAGAATAAATTTTATTAACCTACACTGCTGGCCACCGTAAATGCAACACCCTGAAGGAAGCACGCAAATAACATGAAATTTACAGCATGCATTAGCGGAGGTGAGATATGCAAATGATTAGAATTTCAGCGCAGACGCACATCACGCGCGCCTGTGGCGCCTGGCCGCTAGGCTTGGAGTTTCCGACGATTTCAAGTTCGGCAACTGTGTTTTTTTTTTGTGGCTTTTTTCAATAAAAAAAAAAAAAAAAAAAAAAAAAAAAAAAAAAAAAAAAAAAAAAACACGATCAATTATGCTTTGTAGTAAACAGCGATCATCGTTTGATCAAGTATCCGAGTTCGACAGAGGAAGGAGAGTGGCCTATCGAGAGTGCGGATTATCTTTCAGGGAAATCGGTAGTCGTGTTGGACGAAACCAAACAACTGTAATGCGGATATGTGACCGTCGGATGCAGGAAGGTAAGACGGAGCGACGTGTTCGATCGCATCCACCTCAGTGCACCACTTCACGGAATGACAAGAACATTGTGCGCATGGCAGTGACGCATCGCTCAGTCACATCACGAACCATAGCACAGCACACTCAGTCTGTGACGTATCATCCAGTGTCGGCGCGTACCATTCTACGCCGTTTACAGCAGAGTAGTCTGTCCGCAAGACATTCATTTCTTCGTCTACCCTTGACGCAGAACCACAGACGTCTCCGCCGCCAATAGTGCGATGAAAGAAGGATGTGGGGCGGCAGAATGGAATGAAATTGTCTTTATGACGAGTCAAGCTTCTGTTCTGCAACTCCACGATGGTCGAATTCGAGTCTGGAGACACCGTGGAGAGAGGATGCTGAAAGCTGGTTATGCACCCCACACTGGTCCATGCACGAGTTTATGGTATGGGGCGGTATTGGATATCACTCTTGGACTCCTCTAATACGCATTACCGGTACTTTAAACAACCAGCGCTACATCTCCGAGGTGTTGCAGCCAGTTGTCCTTCCTTACCTTCAGGGCTTCCCTATAGCCATATTTCAACAGGATAATGCGAGACCACACGTGGCACGCATTATCCAAGGGTTCTTCGACAAGCGCTAGATTGAATATCTTCCTTGGCCGGCTCGCTCTCCGGATCTTTCGCCGATAGAGAACATGTGGTCCATGGTTGCTGAACGATTCAAATGTTATATCTAATTTTATAACATTAGCATAAGAAACAACAAATTCATATTCCATTTAGTTATTCAACTAGCCTTATCACTTTCACATTCCTTACATATGTAAGATGACCTTATTATGGCTTTCATATTGAGAAAATTAGAATACTTGAAAAAAAAAACTGCTGAAGGATTTGTAATTTTGATTTATAATAAATAATTATCACTATTCGGCTAATATCTTCCAAATTATTGCATTACATGTAAGATTCTATTACTATATAAACAGATAAAACGAATCATAAAAAAATATTTGTTTGAAAATATTTAAAAAATTAGAATAATTCTTAATGTGACGATAATTTTTATATTGGGCCTTTTAAAGTACGAATTGGCTTTTAAAACTCGTATTAGAAATGAATATAAATGTTAGAAACAAATGTTAGAAAACATTTCTTCATGTTAGAAACAAATAATATGTTACCATGTTAGAAATTACAATCTATAAACAATGTGCACTTGTGAATTTTATTATCTTCTTGTTAATGCATTCTGAGTGCTTTATAAGCACTTAATAGAGAGATAATAGATAAATTGTGATTAAAAATCTTTGATTTCTTGTTAAAAATACCTTAAAAAAATTTTTTTAATACAAAATCTACGACTTTCTTAATTTTACATTGCTTTCCATGCAGATAACAATGTCAGTGTTAAAAACAGCAAACACAAAGTGTAAAATATAATATCATACGATAAGAAATGTAAAATAGTATTATGAAAGTAAGTTTGAAAGGTTTGTGATTTTTAACGGTCACTCAAAAGGTTAAAATTAAGGTTTCTTACGCTCTCGTCGAACTCGTAGTCTACCAGTCTGCTGTTACCTCACTAATACAAGCCCTCCCCCCTTTTTTTTTTTAAACTTTAGTATTAAGCATTATTTTCTTCGGATTTGAGCCAAGAATTTACTTTAGAATTCCCGATGCAGCGTTAAGTGTTGTTTTTCTGCTTTTTCCTGTCTTTTCTCAGTTCATCATGTCAATGTTCAGTTTTCTTACTAAGACGGCTTTTCAAACCATTTTTTTTTTTTTTTGTCTTTTTATTATTAAATGTGTCTACTTTATTTATTAAATACCACGTTCTTGGCGCTTACGCCACATAAAGTAATAATTACGCCACATAAATAATCACAAAATATTTTAAAACAGCATATCTTTAGAATTTCCGATAGACAGTCTCGCGCGCTGCAGATAAAAAGGTTTTATTCCGTACAGTGTTGGCACTATTCCCTTTGATTGGATTGGATTGGATTATTTAATTACGGCAAAGCACACGAGGGGAGGGATGCCTTCATGGAGGTCTTTCTAAAGGAAACTGGCTCGTATACACATTAAACATGGGGAAAACCACGAAAACGCCCATGCAGCCAGCCCGTTCGCGGGATTCGAACCTCGGACCGAACTACCAGTGTTCAGCGACTTTACCGCTCGGCCGCTGGTGGGCCCCGGTGCGGCATGGCTGCACTTCAAAGATGCGGCGAGCCGAAAGTCCTCTCGTGTGGATTAGTGGAAGGGGAGAGGGGTGGGAATAAAAGTCCAACTTCTCTTCGGAGTGGGCTCTGGCAACCATTGTTGCAAGAAATATGGACAAGACAACAACAACAAGAGCTAGTTAAATTTCATATGAATAACTGTTCATTCTTGTCTTGCGCGCGCATGAAATACTCTTTAAATAGAATCAATTAATCTTATTTAGAAAGAATATATTTCATTTATTCGAGTATAACTTTCAATGTTAACAATAGCTACAGTAGGCAATAGGCCACTGAATCAACTTCCGACCTTAGGCAAGAGTTACCAAACGGAATGTGTTGATTCAGTGGAGGTATCTACTTCCAGCTATCCACCACCTGCCAAGGTAGGGGCCGGTAGAACAACGGCATTTATTGAATTTTTCAAATAGATTTACAAAGTTTTGAGTTAGTTGCAGAATACATAGTTTTGAGTACATTCGATTGGTGATGTGTTTACAGATATTTAACATCTCAGTAGTTTTTACATATTATCAATGACAATTTATACAGGATTAGAAACATTATATACAAAACTATTGCATTATATATGAATAAAATAATACAGTGCTTTTGTTATTACAAAGATGTAAGTACCTTTTTTTTATGACAACAGATGTTAGATGGAAATTACGGTGATTAATGACATTTCAATATCTAAATAATAATTGTCCAAGCTAAGAAGCTTACATTAAGTAGATAATAATAGTAAGAAGTAATTAGAATTCCAACATTTATGTTCATAGGTGACAATGCGTAATGCACTGATCAATTGCAATAAAATGATAATAATATTTCTTAGCAATTTTAAAACAAATTTTTATCCGTACATACAAGATATGAATAAAATGTAAAATAAAAACATAGAATTTGATCTTTAACATTGGAATTTTGATATACATAATAACAGAACATAAAGAATTGAATTGTTGAATTTAGATTCCATTCTGGAATATAAACATCTTGAATGAGTTGTAAAAACATAAATTTTGATATATACAGAAATTGAATAATACGATAATTGTGAGTCTATATCATAGACTTGAAGTGCGAATCTAAATGATTGGATTGATGGTTACCACTGCTAATGTTCAGTTATTGGCTGGAGAAGTTATATAAAGATGAGCAGTATTGGAAAAGTTTAGAGAGTGAATTGCGCTTGATGCAATTAGTGGTTAAATTTTTTGTCCATATGATTATCTGGAGGAACTGTCAGGTGAAAATTTTCCGTTAAATGGCAGTGGAAAGCTAGATGGTCCGGATTTCCGACTTCACCGCAATCGCAGGTGTCGTTCTCTCTTAAATTGAATCGAAATAAATAGCTAGGGTAGGGTCCATGGCCAGTTAAGAAAGTAGTGATTGCAGAGGATCCTGTTATTAGTTTGTAGGAAACTTTGGGTATGAATCTAAATGTTCGCCTGCCTTGTTGTGAAGAATTCCAACGATCTTGCCATTTCTGTATTAGGTATTGTTTTGTGATCTTTTTTAGATGAGAGTGAGGTAGAGGTAGCGGTAATTTCGGGAGATCTATTCCTTGAGCGGCTTCTTTGGCTTTGAGATCTGCTTGATCATTTCCTTCTGTATCTGCATGAGCTTTTGTCCAAGAGAGTGTGGGGCGGAATGGAACTGAGATTTGTAGCAATAATTTTTGTATTTGAAAAACAAGTATTTTACGAGGTTTGCTATTTTGGAGAGCTAGGAGGCTTGAAAGTGGGTCAGTGATAATATTGAACGGAGTGTTGAAGGAGATTGATAGTTGAATTGCCTTTTTAATCGTTAGCAGCTCAGCCTGGTATATTGAATTGTGGGTGTTTAATCTTCTTTTCCAAGTTAAAATCTATTGATTGTTCCTGTAAAGACAAAGTCCGCTTCCTGTCCCCGATTCCATGTGTGAGCCATCTGTAAAAGCACTGAAAGATCTTGTTGGAGGTTTATTCTGAGATACTATGATATTTTCAGCTAGGTTATAGAGTGCAGGATGACATAGATATTGATGTATTCTGTCTTCATAGTCAGTAGAATGATAGGTGATGTTCCAGAGTGCGCTATGGGATCGAATTCTCAGGACCTGTGCTATTGTAGCTTCTCTTTCCATAGTAAGATCAATTGGAGGTATTCCGGTTAATATTTGTGGAGCAACTGTAGAGGTAGTACCATAGGCTCGACTGATTTGTAAAAGAAATGGTCTTTGTAATGATAGTAAAAGTCGCCTGGTATGAGAGTTGAGTATTTTGCACCATATTACAGAACAATATCCTATTATTTTTTCAATGACGGTAAGATACCAGTATTTTAGTATATTTGAGGAGACTCCCCAGGCGTTTGCTGCAGTACGCTTCATACTATTGTTCAAGTGTGCAATCTTATTTTTGATGTGTTTGAGGTGCGGAATCCGTGAGAGACGATTATTTATTATTAGTTCGAGATATTTGAGATTTTCAGCAAATTTTAATGGTTTGGCTTGAATTCTAAGTGATGGTATTCGTTTGAGTGGACTTTTCATTCCTATTAACAAGGCTTTGGTTTTGGTAGAGGATATTGTAATTTTGTGTTCTCTTGCCCATTTATCGACAATGTCGAGTTGCTATTGTCGCTATTTTTGATCGACCCTTGACTATAAGTAGGAAGTCATCTGCAAAGGCTATTATATCGCAGTGTGTGCTATTCTTGAAGGTCTTGAGTAGGGAATCCGCCACGATATTCCACATTACAGGTCCTAAGCAGGATCCCTGCGGACATCCCCGCTGCAAGTTCTTTTGAATGATTCCTAAGTCTAGTGTTATTTGGACGATTCGGTCTTCCAGATAGCTTCTGATTAACGTCTGGATGTCTGTAGGACATTACATGGCGGCTAGTGCATGGAGTATATCCGGCCACCATAAAGGATCAAATGCTCCCTGGATGTCTTTAAGCTTATAACTATTGAGTGTTGGCTATTGAGTCTATTGTGTTTAATAATATCCATAAATTTGGAGATTGCCAGTTCTGTTGATTTACCTCTCAAAAATCCGAATTGTGAATGTTCTAAATAGTTGTTACACTGCATATGATAGAGAAGTCTGTCCAATATTATTTTTTCCAGAAGTTTACTGAAACCGGAAATAAGACAAATTGGTCGATATGAAGTTATGAGATTTGGATCTTTGTCTGGTTTATGAAATAAGGCTACTTCGGCTATTTTGGAATTTTTTGGAAAAGTGCGCAGACGCCAGCAGGTTTGGAGGAGTGTAAGAACAAAAGCTGGAGAAATGGCGAAGATCATTTTAATAATTCTATTGTCAATGCCATCTGGGCCTGGAGCTTTTTTCAGATTAAGTTTTGTGATAATTTGCTTAATTTCGTATATTGTTGGTAGATTATCAGATGGAGTTGGAGAAGGAGTGAAGTTATTAAATGAGGCTCTTATTTTTGTGTGTTCTATCAAATCTTCTGAGATATTGTCAGGTAAGAAGAGGCCATCTAAGATTTTGATGAGTACCTCTTGTGGGGAAGAAGCTTCAGGATTAAGTTCAGCTGGAATATTGGCTGGTCTGAAGGTCTTGTTGAAGGCAATGTGGAAGACGGAACCATAGATATTTTTAGTAGAAGAACAGTATTGTTTCCATGAAGTTTCTTTAGCTTGTCTTATTGATCGTTTGTAAAGAGCTTGATGTTTTTTATATTTAAGAAAGAGAGCTCTTCTGTTGGAAGGTTGATTTTCTGATTGAGCTGTTCTTCGAAGTTTTCTAAGATCGCTGCGTTGCTTCGCCAGGTCTGAAGTCCACCATGAGGAGGTCTTGTGGGGATGAAAATGATTCAATTTTAAAGGTCTTCCTGCAGGCTTATTGGCAGGCTTCTAGTTGACTGATCATAGCATCTAAAAAGGGCGTCAAGTTCCTGGGAAATTTTGATAGATCTCCGAACTTGGTTTTAAATCTTAGTTTCTGTACTATTTTGGAGGTAGCTGAAAGACTAAAGGTTATTGCTGTATGGTCACTGAGTGTTATTGCATCACTTACTGTCCAGTCATGAATAATATTTGCTATTGAAATTGAAGTTAGTGTTAAGTCCGGCCATCCTTTAGCTCTCAGGGTATCGAAGGTAGGTGGAAAGGTGACATCATGACAGATGTGATTTGGTATAAAATTGGCTTAGTTAATTGTGTGGAAAAGTGAAGGAAGTCAGGGAGATCGTAATGTTAATCCTATAAGAAAAATGTTTTTAAGTTAGAAACTTGAAATCTTGGTAAAGTGTGTGAAAAGGGTGAGAATTAATCGTGCTGCATTGGGAATTTTGAGATTGTGACAATTTAGTGAGGAATTAAGCTTAAATATGTCTAAAAATAGATACGCAAAAAGATACCAGTTGAATGAGAGTTTACTATTGTGTTTGGGTCGTTATAACAATGCTTAATAGACAAGATCTGTATAGTGAGTTAAACTGTGGATAAGATTATATTAATTTACGAAGAAATAAAATATGAGTGGTATTAATATTTAAATGGCTGTGTTAATGCTATTCAGGCAAAATTGTTTAGTGAAAATTGTTCATTTTACTTATATATACATTCAAGAGGTTGAATATTTAAATAAATTATATGAATAATGAATTACAAGTAAACGTAAAAATGAATTATAAAGTGCGTGTAAATAAATAGTTATTTGGAAGTGGCAACTACAATTTGAATTTTATAGGAACAGTAAATTAAAATTAAATGAATTTCTAACTAACCGACATATGAAAACTTATAAATTGAAATAATTTAAAAAGCAATTTCATAAAAGTTATATAAATGAATAAAAATATCATTAATTATAAGTAAATTATATACTATATGCTGTTAAATATTAAATAAAATTAGTAAATAAGAGAATATATTAATTTTACGAAGTACAAGTATAATTTCTAAATAACTTATCCCCAAATGCCGGGGATGTCTGAGAAGTAATTTAAATCAGTCCTTTTACTTCCAGAACAGGTGGGAGGTATCCATTAATGATCCAAACTGTGAATTATATCCAAAATTAGGTGAAAATATGATATTAGCTGCTTGAAAGATGAGCTCAAAATGCTGTCCTGTGCACTGTTGTAGTTGATTTTAACGATTCAGCCAAAGTCCAAAAATTCTTGTTAAAGTCCGGAAAAAATATCCAAAATTTTCGAAAGTAGTATCAAAATGTTCCTCTCCGCTTGGGCTTTCGAAGGAATCCAAAATTCTGAAAAACACTTGATTATTTCCGCACTTATAAAGATTTTTTCAAGAGCGATAAAATTTACCAGCCAACACTTTTAAAAACGTTATCAGTAGTAACAATAGCTACAGTCAGATCATTCACATTATATATTTTGAATCTTACACTTTCAAAATTAAAAGTATGGAAGCATTGCGATAAGAAAATAGTGTTTAGCGACGTTACCGCTCGGCCGCTGGTGGGCCCTATTCAAAATTGGATGCCTCTAGGTATCGTTGTTTTTTCACTGTGCTAGAAATGTATACACATTCCTGTAGATTCTTCAAAATGCCGGTTCGAGACTAATATCTATATTCGGCACTAGCGCCACTTTTGGACTAATAATAATGATAATAATGTAATGAACTGTACTGTAATTATAGTAAAGTTTAAATCTTCTCATCGTAATTAAAATAAATGAAAACATGTATAATTAAACTGTTTAGATTTGATAAAAAATTAAACGAAAAACGTATGGAGTATGAACAGAATGGAAACTTGTTTAAACAGACAGTTAGACGCAACGTAAACATTATTGAGAAGAAATTGCTAATTTTAAACATGCCTACGAAACATTAAAATCAGTTTTTAGGATCGATGGAGTTTATTAAAGTTTATTTACATTTAATTTCGTCGCTAATTCATAAAACTCATGTGTTTAGAACTTCCCAACATTATAAAAGTTATAATCATAAAATGAATAGATTTCACTATCTGAGATACGAAATTAAGTTTAATGCATTTTTTATGTTTACCTGTTTATGAATTATAATAAATTAAAATATAGTACTTCCTTTTAGATACCGAAACTCCAGGTTCTTTGAACTTCTGTTCAGTTTCAAGTAAGTGCTATAATGTTTTATTATTAACGAATTCCATTGTTAACCGAATTCTTTGTGTTATTAAAAATAAATGTCTTCTTACAGCTAATATAAAATATTTAACAGTATGGGTTATTGTCTGATCGACAAAAACGCCCGCCGAAAAAGTTTGGGTTTGTTTCGATTTTGATTACCAGTTCCTCTTGACCTGACTCTTAATAATCCATTTTTTTCGCTTTATTATTAAGCATCGTTTTCTTAACACATACAATTAAACAGAAAAATTACGAAATTTCTGACAACAACATAGCAGCATATGTTTAGAATTTCCATTTTAATAATTGTTGAAACGCAGTTTTGCATCAAGTCATTATAAATGCGTCGTTTCGTTTTTCTTTCGAGACTGTTGCCATTCGGCAAACTGTAAGATAGTATTTATCTTTCTAGTTGAATCGGTTGTGGATTAACAAGCTAACAGTTTGAAACTAATCGATGTATCATTTCACCCAGAATATTCGTTTATTACTTATAAATATTTGTTTCTTACTTTTGAATCGAATTAATTTAAATAATAATAATTTAAAAAATAAAATAAAAATCTGAAAGCTTTCAAATTTCACAATACTCTCAGGCTTTTTTTTTTCAGGCGTTTTTAGGAGCGTTTTTTTAACGTTTTGTGTGTTAGTTTTATTTATTAAATATCATGTTCTTCGCAATTAAACCATAAAATTCAATTCAACAGCAATATCACAAAATATTTAAAAAGAGCATATGTTTAGAATTTCCGATGCAGTCTCACGCGCTGGAGATAAAAATGTCTTTTTCCGTACAGTGTTGCCATTGCTGGCTTTGAAATCGTTGAGTTTCTTAATCAAAACCTCATAAATGCTTTACAAAATATGAGATAGATAATAAAACAAATTCCAAATTTGGGCTTCCAGATGCCCATATTCGAGTGCAGGACTGCGTTATTCAAAATTTGATCTCTCTAGATACCGTCGTTTTTTTCACAATGCGAGAAATATATATATATTAATGCATATAGATTATAAGATTCTTCATTAATTAATTTCTTTAAATATAATGCAGCGCTCTAATATTTGGTGGCAACAGTTTGAAAAGTGAACCAACGCAAAATGCCAAATCGAACTTAATAGCTCTTTTGGGTAAATTGCTCCTTTGGGCTAAATGTAGGTTGCTATAAGGTTGCATGCTGAGTTATCATATGTATTCGTAAATCTACAATTCTTGAAATGTTTTTAATTTTGAAAATTTTATCAAATAAACATAATTCGTCGTTTACATTTTGTGTTTTACTTTTTGTATTTTTTTTTTAATTTGTAATTTTCTCCGTGTGTAAAAAGAATTTTCTTTCACTGTGAGAATCCGATTAAAATGATTTAAATGCTTCATTATAATTCAAAACAAAATTGAAATTTTGTTTTATATTTTACAAGCTTATTCTTAACATCATCATCTGAAAATAGTAATTTTAATAATATATATTGCACTCTTTCTGCTAATAATTTGTAGAACTGTTTTCTAAAACATTTAAAATCTTTTAACAAAAATTTTTTTCAAAAGTCTTTTAAAACCAGTGTGAATATTGACTATTTTACATTCATTTCACGTTTTTACTCGGCATAAATTTTCCAAATATAAATGGAATTTTATTTTAGTTAAGAGTGAGAGCAGTGGAGATACGGATTCGTCAAATGGGCTACATGATGTGGTGGATGGTCGACGTGGTTCCCGAGTTTCTATCGACGAAGCCGATATAGACAAGCTTCCAGAAGTTAATCATGATAAGAACGTTGTAAGAACCAAGGTAGGTTGATAATTTTCCACTGTGAGTGGAAATGTAACTAGTAAAACGATGGTTTCTAGAAATTTCTAGGACTTTTTCTCTTCTAATGTACACTGCAAAAACAAACAAACAAATAATAATAATAATAATAATAATAATAATAATAATAAAAAGGACAGTTCTATATCTCCCGTTCTACTCGGCCAATTGGTAAAATTCAAACTGAGATTTTCATGTCCCGAAAACGCAACTTAGAATATATATTAGATTTATATATAGCATTGTTCTAATGTAGGTATTTTGACACAAATCGGGCTTTTTCTGAAATGACATGCCAATTTTTTCCATATTTGGATTCTATGACTCAAATTATGCTTAATGTCAAATTTTGTAAAATTTGGTACAACATCTACGAAGAAATTACAAAATTTATCTTGGACATTTTGTTCAGTTTGCGACACTTGGTGAAATTTTTAATTTATAGCAACCTATTTTCCTTTCCTTTCCAGAAAAATGTCATCTTTCATACTTTCAAATAACTAACAAAGTGCGTTAAACCACATTTGACGATATTATGGCTTATTATTATAGCTAACAAATATGCCAAAATTCAAAACGCGCCAATATGTAAATTCATATATTATATCTTAAAAAATTTTGAATAAAAAACTAATTTTTTGCAGGTGTGCTTAGAAAAACATCTTTAAGATGATGTTAAAATTTTATAGGTTATAATTCAAAATTTTGTTCGAAAAACTTATAAAAATTACTTAAAAATACAAATTTTAAAAATAAATCACAAAAAAAAAAAAATGGGCGAATTTTATTGGGAAGGAACCTAAATTTCGAAATGTGAAAGAAAGAATTAAAATAAGTTTAATGAAAACATAGATGTTAACAAATATATATCAAATTCCAATTAACATTGAGGAGCTAAATGTGAGAGCTAATTTTTTAAAAATAACCCTTGCAATTTTTACAAAACTCGGCAGTTTAACATAATTTGAGTCGTAGAATCGAAATATAGAAAAAAATTGGCATTTCATTTCAGAAAAAAAAATCCGATTTTGAGTTAAAATTTACCACCTATTAAAACAATGCTTTATATCTAATACATATCCTATCTTAAGTCGCGGTTTCGAGACATGAAAAACGCGAAAGGGAATTTCGTCAATCGGCTAAGGAGAAAGGGAGATATAGAATTGTCCCTCCCCCCCTTTTTTTCCTCAGTGTTATTCTACACAATATTATCACGTTTAGAAAAATAAAATAGCACGGAAAGAAAGAGATTTGTGTATTCAAATAAGTAATTACTGGACTGAAAATTGAACATTTGTGGTGCCAAACTTAACCAAATTTAAGCACAGTTCGATTAACAGCATTTTAAAATTAAAAATTAAATTTTACACATGAGCGATTATTTTAACTATAAATAAAACTGCAAAATGTCTCAAAGATAAACGAAAAAATTAACGCACAACATAAAAATAATTTTTGTAAAGGATATTTATAGCTTATTAAGCATAATTATAAACTGTAAACGTAAAAATGGTTCTGGGTGGGAAAATCACATCTCCTTCTTGTATTAAACAAACGATTTTTAAAGTTAAGAGAGTATGCTGCAAATGAAATTTCAAATCCGTATTACTCATAACAGTATAGGTGTGTCATCCACCGAAACAATTTTCCATTAATATCCATCCTGGAAATTCCACACTTTTTGAAAATGTGATATAGGTGATCTTTTGATCTGCAGTAAGAGTAAAAATCAGAAGAACGCATTTCATGTGAAGTCCTCAGCATGCGAATTGGGAAGCAGTTGAAGGATCCAACGAATGAGTCAAAATGTGTAGTAGAATAAAATAAAACGTGCGTGATCATCTGGAGAGAATAAGGATCACGATAGAAACCAACTAATGTCATTGAATACCACACCTTCAGTATTGGCAGTGAAATGGTGTGGACTAAATTTTCTCTAGCTATCGCACTGAGCTGCACATCTTTACAACAGGCTCAAAATTATCGTATAAAGTACTTTGCCATACTGCGATTGTGTACGCAGCAGCAGTTGATCCAACATTAGTTCTTGTGGACAAATGTGTCCATCCACATAAAACATATTCGGTGGACACGCATTTCTAGGATGAAGGTATTACTGGCAGGAAGTGGCCACCGTATTTACTTGACCGAAATCCCATCGCAGATCTTTGCGATACCTTTCAGAGGGCTGTCTGTGCTCGTGCACTATCCCTCAAATATTCTCAGATGGCTGGAGGAAGCTCTATATAAAAGAATCCAAATTATTGTTCTCTGGAAAATACGAAAAGTCACTGCAGAGTTTGTATGAAGGTCAGAGGTCATCATATCCTTTAATTAAGGTAAATTGTGTTCATTTGTGTGGCTTATAATTTTGCTAATGTACAGTGTGATGCAAATTGGTGGGCAAAATTAACAGAATTTGCAAATTATACGAAGATTATTGAACCAAATGTACCGAAGAATTATGCAAATATTTAGATTCGAATACGCAAGTGTACACGCGTCTGTCCGCGAAGCCGTGATTGTGAAGAGGATATAAGCGCACGGGTGATTTTTGGCGATTTGTGTGCTCGTGTAGATACGAACATATGGGTGACGGAATGGGATGGAGAATCGTCGGTAGACTGCAGGGAGGCTAATCACAAACGACTCAGTGTCATTTGCAATTTAAGGAAACAGTTTCAAGACACTGGATCCATATCGAGAAGGCCTGGACAAGGTCTACCAAGATGCACAACAACGAATGAGGATCGTTATTTGGTACTTTCAGAGCAGCGACACAGGACTGCTGCAGTTTCACAGCTCTCACTTGAGCTGTATTGGGCCACTGGAACCCACGTTTCACGCTCTGCAGTTGCCAGAAGGCTTCATGAGATAGGGCTGTACGCGAGAACACCCACCGTTTGCGTCCTGCTCACTACAACACAAAAGAGAACGCTTTTAGTATGGTGCAGGCAACATACGCCTTGGATCAAACTTCAGTGGAGCACCGTACGTTTTACAGATGAGTCTAGATTCAGCCTGGACGCTGATTCTCGGCTTGCCTGTATCTGGAGAAAGCGTGGGACGCAATACCATCCCTCCCTCATCAGGGAAAAGAATCATTACGATGTTGGAGGTGTAATGGTTTGTGCAGGCATTATATTGGAAAACCGCATACCTCTGCAGGTCTTTAATAAAGGCTTCTTGACTGCAATGAGGTACAGAGAGGAGATCGTAGATCCATATGTTTGACTTTTCAGGGACACATTTGGTCCAGGTTTCGGGAAGCTGAGTCCAGGAATAGGTTTGTTCCAGGTTTCGACTAACTGAGTTCTGAGTAGACGGCAACTCTTGTCCACATAAAACTCAGCTTGTCGACGATTACCTGGATAGTGAGGATATTCGCCGCATGGATTGACCAGCCAGATCATCTGACCTTAGCCGTATGGACTATGTCTGGGACGGTATTGGCAATTTCATCTCGCCATCCCTCTCCGGGAACCATGTCGCAGTTGATATTTATTTGCCTTGACGCAGGAGTGAGATTCACAGCCACAAGGACTCCTTAACTGCCTCCTGTCCAGTATATGCCGCCACACTCTGCGACCTATGTGGCTGTGAGAGGGGACCATACCCCATATTAGCCTTATTTTTTGTTCGCTATCCCAACGTGGATTTTTGACATCCCTACACTATGAGCTTTACTGATAATCATGTGCGCATAAAATGACTTTCGAATGATACATCTCTTTCTCTGCTATTAATGTATATTTACACCAAATTTCATTAATCATTAGTTTTTCAGAAATTCGACATAATATACAGATTGTATTAATTTTGCTGACGAGTGTACATATATATTGTCACAAATATACCTAATTATTACAAATATATTTTAATGATTGAGAATATTATTTTCTCTAACTTTTTGTCTTTTATAACTGAATTACCTATCTTCGCGTGAAATTTTGAGTTCAATGAAAGCATTACTTTTCTGGCTCAGTTATGTCGACAGTGTGCACTGACGAGACACTTCGACACTAGACTGACAATCAACTCGATACACTACGAGACACACTCTACTCCGCTTACTAGCAGGGTTTATATAGCTTTCGGCCTGCCTTAGAACAATCTGGGCCAAACCGGTAAGAACTCGTTCTAGAACGTTCTCCATCTGTCTATAGTAAATCGCCAATTTTGTTGCCAAATAGGCGATTTCGCGGTAAATCTGGCAACCCTGCTTTCCCTTGCCATTTCTATGGCAACCCTAAACCTGCTTTGCGGGGAAGCTATCTTACCGCGTGATGGACACTTCGTAACAATATTTATTCTCTTTTGAGCCGAAACACTGAATACTTAAAAGAAACACGCTTCTTTCTTGATTGACGAGAACAACGTAATAAAATAAATGCAAAATTCAATGGTTTTTATTGGTTTATGAATTAAATTACTCATAAAAGGAAAGGCGATTTTATTTATCGAGAAGAAAGAGAGAATGAAGTTTTAACAATGTTTGACATTACGCGATACATGCAAACAAGGATGATGCAATAACTTTTTTTTTTTTTTTTTTTTTTTTTTTTTTTTTTTTTTTTTTCCAGCGAATGCGTAAAATTCTGCAGAAAACATACAGACAAGGCCAATCATAAAAAAATTCAGGTGGGAAACATTTTTCTTTATAATAGAGGGAATTCGGCAAGGACTAGAAGTATTATTGCGAATTTCGGTAGACAATTACTCCGAAAGAATTAATCAGCTTTGATTTCCGTTGTGTATTTCGCCAGTTAGGAGTATGTAGAATCGATACATTGACTTTCATATTTAGAATAGATTTTAATTAATGAACGAATGATCTCGCTGTATAAAAGGCTGCATGCTAATATCTAAAACGGATGTAGTCTATTGTTTTTTTTTTTTTTTTTTTTTTTTTTTTTTTTTTTTTTTGTTTAACTGGCTCGTGCCCACGTGAGAAAAATTACGAAATCGCCCGTGCAGTCATCCTGCTCGCCATATTCTGTTACGGATTTAATTATCAGGAACCACTGATTTTATATACTCCTCCACTGGTAGGCGAGTAAGCTAGCCAAAGGCAAACGTCAGTTTAATTAAGTATTGACAGAATTATATGTCGAAGTAATCTTGCTTGAAAATTCTCAACCGGGTTTAAGAAATTTTGTTAATAAAGCACTGGTCGAGTTTGAAATGTGGGTTTTCAACGGAAGAAAATATTCATTTTATTTATAATAAATTTATTTCAGTATAGCGACTAATTATGAAGTCATTCTTCTTGATATAAATGCTATTTTGTATTTGATATCAGAACTGGAGACAGAAGAAAAAGAGTCTGCCAAAGATGTGATATCCGTCTTTTTTTAAACTTTGTAGAGACATTAGGTTATTTCGAAGCAGGAGAGATGAAAAATGAGTAATGCCCTCGCCAGGACTCGAACCACGGACCTCTCGAATACGCGCCGAGCGTGTTGACCATCACCACGAAGAAATGCTAAGAAGGTGGGAGAAATATCTTATATATTCCCCCTTTTAAATGGCGACTATGAATTAGGGGATCCAATCGCCAAATCCTGGTTGTGTAGAATTATCATAAACCACCTCTTTTTTAGTTCGAGCGCCACTATAGGAACATTAGGATTTTTTTGAAGCAGGGGCCATGAAAAACGATCAATGCTCTTTCCGGGACTCGAAACTCGGTCCTCTTGAATACGCGCCGAGTGTGTTGACCACTACACCAAGAAGGCAGGAGAAATACCTTGTAACTTCTTTGACCTTAATTCGCGATCTTAAATGTACGGTTTGATTTGGTTTATTTGATTATGGCAAAGCACTACAGTGCTATCTGCCTAAGAGCAGGGATGCCTTTTTATAGGACGTTTCTAAAGGAAACTGGCTTGTTTACACATTACACACGGCGAAAGCCATGGCAACGCCCATGCAGACAGCCGCTTTGTCCGGAAGCCAACCAACTGGAACTATTAGTCATTAACCAAAATTGGCAGTTAGTGGTTACATTAACTGCCAATTTTTTCCTCTCAATTTACATTTGTTTTTGGGTGTCTAGATTGACACAGAGACTGGATTGGAATATAAGTGAAATATATATGGAAATATATGCTCCTTATCAAATATCAGTGACAATAATCGTATGATTTTACTTTACGCTTCTATGTTCATCCCTTTTCCCAATACTATTCTGTACCTCATTTTGAAATATAATTATTATCTACAGTAAAACTACAGCAGGAGACTTTATTCTAAAAACATGTTGTTACGTGCGTACGGGTTCATGAATGCACAAGCCAGATAATAAGTTAATGAAATTTATTCTTATCAACAGAAATATACCAGACGCTGGAATTTCCTGAGAGATATTTGTACAAGTGTTCACAGTATCAGGCAGTAAAAATCAGTAATTATACTTCAAACTACTAAAAATAATAAATAGAACGCAAGGCACGGCGCATTTAAAGAGAAAGCTAATCCGATCTCACGCTGAACTAAGAACAATAACAACAGAAGCTAACTGAACTAAAATGCTCTTTCTCTCTGGCTCTTTATAGATTTCAATCGGTCACGAGAAATTTCTAGCAGTTTCTGCTTCTCGAGATTTCTGGAAAGCAAAAGAGTAGAATTATGGTTAAGCTAACAAAGTAGTCAATTAAATTTATTCAAATTAAATATAAATTACCGTGATAAACTTTTATTCAATGTTAAATGCACGCGCTCCTGTATTTTTACTTTTCCGGCATAGCTTTCTCTTATACCTCGTCTCACGCTGCATTGTACGGGAAAATAAAACAATTTTAATTATAATTTTACTAACATTAGCTATCTAAATACAAAATTTGCAACAATACCTATGGTGAAAGAAAGTTAAAAGTCTAGAGTATAGTTTGTAATTCTTTGTAGATTCTCTTAAACGGTTAGATTACTTTCACGTTTTTAGCGTTCAGTCATCATGTAATGAGACAATTATGCTTAAAATGAATTTTCATTGAAAATTCTCTGTCATGGAATTATTGTCACACTAATTTAAACACCGGTTCGTTTCAGACTGTTCTTTACGTTTCGGATTTAGCGAGGAAGAAAGACAAATACCTGAGTGAAAGAACCAAAGTTTTTTCATGGTAAGTGAAATTTATATGTATTTTTTTCACAGAAAATATTTTTGTCAACTTTTGTGTTTGCGCTGACGTACCAAATACATACATATTTGGTAAGTTATACATTTGTGTAACATATCAAAAACCCCAAATATTGCTGTTGATTTCAAATTAAGAGTTACAGACTTCAGTTAAAGAAAATACTGTCCTTAACAATTCGAAACTTTTCTCTTTCTAAAAAATTATCTTTTCTTAAAAATGACAGCTCTTTAACTTACTATGTGGGTGTTCAGTTACTGATCATCTGTATTCAGTGTGTAAAATGAAAATAATTTCTGTGAATATGCTGCTATCCTAGTTAATCAGAACGCACTTCCGCTCATAAAGTAAAAAAGTTCTAAAAAATTAATGAAGATTACGGTTAAGCAGCTGATCGTGCTTTTAATCGAAATCTTCAAAATAACATGGAAGATTTAAAATAAACGTTTTCACTAAAAGTAATAATTACGAAGGCAATTAAAATAAATGTACGAAGGCAATTAAAATAAAGTAAAAAATCTGGTGTGTACACCACATGACTTCCTTGCACGGAATATTAAGTTATACGCATTTTTTGTTGCATTTCATTTAAACTTGTTTCTTCGAATTTCATTAGAGATATAGTTCTCACTTCGCGGCAAAGCAAAAATACATAAAAACCTCAAAATACACTCTTTTGAAAAAAAAAAAAAAAAAAAAAATCGAAGCGCCATGAAGGAAGTGGTTGTTTATGATGAAATTGAATACGTGTATAGCTCATACACAGATAATAAACTGATTAAAAAATCAAGGTTACAGTAGCTGTTCACGGCTCACAATCACCCACTGAGTGTTCAAATTAGCAATTTGTAAAATCTGACGCGCAATGAAGTGCCGCAGATGGCAATGAAGTGCCGCAAAGATGGTATCAACATATCGTTCAGCTGTTAAAGATGTATGGAGGATGGCTAAAGATGACCTGCTGTCATAAGAAATAGAGCCCCACACCATGACACCAGGGCTTATGGCTGTATGCCATTGTAAAACAAAGGCTGGTTGGAACCGCTGGCCCCGTCCTCTCCAGACACGAACACGGTGGTCATCTGCTTTGAAAGTGAAGCGTGATTCATCACTGAACACTATACGATGCCAGCCTGATGGCAGCCATGATCATCGGCTGCGACACCACTCCAGACGACTCCGCCGATTTTGTGGGGTCAAAGGCAAACGTCTTAGAGGCCTCTGTGGGCGTAACCCCGCCTCAGAGAAGCGCCGTGAGATGGTAGACCACGGCTATACCACGGGAGGTATAGACGTGGCTGCAGTGCGTTGAATAATCGACAATGATACCGTTGGGACGGTTCGGGCCTGGCGAATAATCATACTATCTTGCCTCGCATTTGTGTTCCTTGGCCTTCCAGAGTCTTCATATCGTCGGCAATTTCCTTGTAGCAACCATTGCTGCCAATATTTTTTCACAGCAGTGTCTGTACTCTGCAGTTGGCGGCCTATTGCTCGGTATGACCACCCAGCTTCGCGCAACCCTACAATGCGACCACGTTCGATGTCGTTTAGTTGTCTGCAAGTTCTTCGATATCATCGTAATGACATCATTAGTTGCTTCTTTACGAAATTACAATGGCAGCAACAAAAAAAGATAAATTTTCCGCCTCTAATACTGGTTTTATACTTTGCGAATTGCGCACTGGAAATGCGCGCTATGATCGCAATTCCTGTTCATTTGCCTTGAAACTTTGATCATTTGCACGCTCGATCTAGATGTTTTTGCGTACCAAATTTCGTCACAATCGCAAAAGTTCTTCTTGGTGCTTCTATTTTTTTTGCAATTGTGTGTATTTTTATCAAAAGTTGAAAAATATAAAACATGTAATACAGTTAAAAAAACAATTTTTACAATTAAAATTAGAGTTTCTACGCAGAAACAAGCAGATTTTTCGGTGCACAAAACTGAAAGTTTCCTTTTGGTCCAACTCGGCAAAAAGACACTGAAGATGCAGAAGCCGACTAATTCTGCTAAGTTTCAAATGTAAGACCGATTGCAACCAAAACAGAAGGGGCACAACTACATGTTATAGCAGTCCTATATACAAAATTCAACGTTCTGAGGCTACTCGTTTTTGAGTTATACAAAATACATACATACGTATATACAGACTTCACGAAAATATCTCTTCTGAATGCCTTTTAAATCCTTTTTTACAATCGGTTTTGGAAAAAAGAGTCCTTTATTCTGTTCTTACGTACAGATGTCACGCAAAAACATCGCGAAATTGTATTCGATAGCAGTCAAAATATGATACCCGAAAGTTTTCGCAATTACAATACATCGTTTATTTTGTACAAAGAAGTAAAACGGATATGTGTAAAATGCAGTATTCTTGAAGCTGGAAAGCTTTGTTTTGCATAAAGATACTAAAATTAATTTATATGTAAACATGTAATATTAATTTTTTTATGCTTCAGCATTTACTTTCCTTTTTCATGTATATTTTTTCAGCTGTTAAATATTGAAATAAGAATGAGGTATTTAAAATTTAAACTATGCTTCGAGTGCAAATTTTGCAAAATTAAACTATTAACTTCTCAAATTGATTATCATATTTTTTTTTCAGGAATTTGGTTACTATTGCTATTTTTTATGGATTACCGGTTGTTCAACTCGTCTATATCAATCAGAGGGTAAGTAATTAAAATACTGGTTCACATTTTTCTTGTGAAGATAAAGTATTAAAACCCTCATACCGGAAAATATTTTTATGATCAAACACAATAGCGAGGTGCCGTGTACAAAGTGCGGGGAAATCCAAAAAAGTCATTTTGAATTCTTCGATTATTTTTTGGACTTCTCGGACACAAACAAATTTTCGGATTCGTTTACATGGGCAAGAGAAATGCGTCTTATAACAGAAGAAAGATGGGTCCTTTTCTGTTATCGGGACCGGATTCAGAAATGTAGGGATGTATGTACACCCTGTTAAAAAAAAAAAAAAAAAAAAAAAAAAATCTGAAATGTTTCAGATTTTAAATTACGTCCAAAGGGGCGGGGCGTTTTTTAACATTTTGTGTGTTACCTTTCTTTATTAAATATCATGTTCCTCGCACTTAAAAACCATAAGATCCAGTGCAACAGCAATATCGCAAAATAGTTTTAAAACGAGCATATCTTTTAGAATTTCCGATACAGAGACTCACGCGCTGGAGATAAAAATGTTTTTTTTCTGCACAACGTTGCCATTGCTCGCTTTGAAATCCTTGAGTTTGTTAATCAAAAATTCGTCAAAGTTTGAAAAAATAGGAAATCGATCATAAAACAAATTTCAAATTTCAAATTTGGTCTTCCACATGCTCATATTCGTTGGAGGATTACGTTATTCAAAATTCGATGACTCTATGTATCGTTATTTTATGACAATGTGAGAAATATACATACATTTACGCAGATTTTCATTATTTAATTTCTTCAAATATAATGCAGGACTCTAACATTTTATGGCAACAGTTTGAAAAGTGAACCGACATTTATCCGTCCGACGCAAAATGCCAAAACGAAACTAATAGTCCTTCGGGATTCAAATAAATCCCTTTGGACTAAAAAAAAAGGACAGTTCTATATCTTCCGTTCTACTGCAGCCATCGTCGACATTTAACATGTGTTCTTCTTGTCAGCGATGTGTGGAATATATATAACATTGTTCTAACATAGGTTATTTTGACACAAAATCGGACTTTTTCTGAAATAACATACCGAGTTTGTTTTCCATATTTCTATTCTAGAACTCAAACTATATCTAAATATTTAATTTTGTAATTTTTGGTGAGAAATTTATGGATAAATTAAAAAATTTATCTTGGCTCTTTTTTTTTCAGTTTGCGCCAAGAATAATCTTTGAACTTTTTAATTTATGGCAACCTATTTTCCTTTCCTTTTTTTCATTGTACACGAGCTGGAAAAAGGTCTTCGTTCATGCTTTTAAATAATTTTAAGAAAGTGCGTAAACTGCTTTTGGTGTTATTATCGCTTATAACGAATATGCCAAATTTCAAGACGCGCCAATATGTAGATACACGTATATCTTAGGAAGTTCTGAATTTAAAAAAACTCTATTTTCTTGTTGGTGTGCTTAGAAATACGTCTACTTTAAGGTGATGGTAAAAATTTTATAGCTTATAATACAAATTTTTTTTCGAAAAATTTATAAAGATTCAAATGTAAAAAATAAATCATAAAATAATGGGCGAATTTTATTTGGAATAAACCTAAATTTCGAAATATAAAAGGAAGAATCGAATAATTTTAATTAAAAACGAGATTTTAATAAACATATACCAAATTCAATTAACATGGGAGGAGGCAAAACTTTGAGAGCTAATTTTTAAAAACTGCTCTTGCGATGTTTACAAAACTTGGTATTTTGGCATAATTTGAGTCGTAGAATCGAAATATGGAAAAACAATTGGTGTGTTATTTCAGAAAAAGTCCGATTTTGTGTCATTGTTAGAACAATGCTATATATAAATCTAATACATATCTTAAGTCGCTCTTTCAAGGCATGGAAAACGCAAGTTAAATTTCGAGTTGAACGGGAGATATAGAATTGTCCCATTTTTTTTTAATGCAAGGTGTACGTGGGTATTGATGTATACGTGGGTGTGTATACACATACATACGTAAGTACTTACATTCATGCATAGATAACTACATACATTCATATACACATAACCAATTCTGAATCCGGTCCAGATAGCAGAAGAGTATTGCAAAATTATAATATGTATAAGCTTTTAATAATTACACTAATAGTGCCCAGTTCAAGATAAAATATATTCATTTTATGAAAGTTTTCGCAGAAATGCATATGTACGTTCGCATAACGCATGAAAGCACTTGTGCATGGCCGAAAGCATAAAACTTACGCACAGTACGTTGACGACTCGTATTACGTTATGAAGGAAGAAAGTAAAGGAGTGCTTTTCAAATTAAAAAAAAAAAGTACCATCTCACATTTCACATGATTGACACAAAATCTTGAATATTTTTATTTTCATGCATGATACAGAAATTGGGTGGTAGCCAATGCGTAATTCGCACCGCTGTGAGTATGTTGAAAAGCTGAGGATATTATGAAGGTGAAAAACTTCATAGTTTTTACAGAACAGCATTTTTACAGAAAATTCAATTTAAAAAAAAACTCTCGAATGACACCTTGGTCATATTTCAGAAGCAAAAAATTTTTGAATGAAATGGCTGAAGCATTTGAAAGCTTTATACAATTCAGATAAACAGTCCGGATATTTTTAACCATAGACTGCGCGACTGTAAACACAAATATCCATGCTCGATTTAAATAGAATTATTTGCGAAATAAGATTGAGGGTAATAATCCTTGCAAGAGGGATATTTTATATTTTCATGTGTTTCTTTATTTATACATATAAATGCACGTTTACGATATCGACTTCAAAGAGCATATACACTCTTAGACAAACAAACAAAAAAAAAAAAAAAAATGACGCACCGAGAAGATATAAAGCAAATTGGACACAAATTGATATGCATACAGGTTTCGACGGAAAATGCAAAATTTTACATTTGGGCTGCCAATGAATGAACGGTTGTCGCTACAGCGCATCTGATCTGCGCAATTCGCGGGATATTTAAGAGGAGAAATTACGATTCCAGGTCATAAATTCTTCACGAATTTCATTCCGAGTACTCTGGTAGACAGTAAATATGCATCGCATACAGGTGCGCGAAAGATATGCGCAGATGTCACAATTTGAGAGAGGTCGTGTAGTTGGTCTCAAAGAAGCCGGTTGGTCTTATCGGCGAATAGCTCGACATTTGAGCAGGAGCGATGCCACTATTATACGATGTTGGCAGGAATGGGTGAACTATGGCCGCACACAGCGTCAAGAAGGAAACGGTAGGCCTACAGAAACGACAAAACGTGAAGAACAAGCAATCGTCAGAGCGGCGCTCACAGCCCCAGATGCATCATTATCATCGATTGCACGGGCAACTAATGCTTCAGTGACCGCAAGGACCATTCATAGACGGCTCACAGAAAAGGGGCTGAGGTCACGGCTCCTCTTGCGCCGACTACCATTGACCTCTGTACAACGTCAAGCCCGTTTTCAGTGGTCATTCGCACTGGAATGTCACTGACTAGAGTAGAATACACAAACGGCTCTATATGACCATGTTCTTATGTTTCTCTTTCATTTCAATAATTACTGTGGCCAGGGCAGCTGAATGGCACCGAAACATATCGGATGCTCTGGATAATGGTGGACGTGGTGCTGTACTGATTAACCACTATGGTAAAGGAACAGTGCCCACGTCCTCCGTCACTCACTCACGCATTCAGTGATGAGTCCCGCTTTGAACTGAGCCCCGATGACCAGCGAAGGCGAGTCTGGAGACGTCCCGAGCAGCGGGTGGGACCAACCTGACTGTCTTCCAGCAGACAGGCCGACAACCAGAAGCGATGGTCTGAGGTGCCATTTCATTTCATGGTAGGACCCCTTTGGTTGTCATCCGTCGCAACCTTATAACACAGCGGTAGATCGACAAAGTTGTAAGGCCGTTGTGTTGGCCTTCATGTCATGCCCCCCCTGGGCTTACATTTCAGCACGGTAATGCCCGCCCCCACACTGCGCATGTTTATGCTGCTTGCCGAACATTACCTTAGCCAGCAAGGTCGCCGGATCTCTCTCCTATTGAGCACGTTTGGCGCATTATGGGCAGGGCCCTCCAACCAGCTCGGGATATTGACGATCTAACGCGCCAATTGGACAGAATTTGGCCCGATATCCCTCAGGTGGACATCCGCAACCTCTGTCAATCGATGCCAAGCCGAATAACTGCTTGCATAAGGGTCAGACGTGGACAAACGCGTAACTGACTTTTTCACTTTGTGAAGCTCTTTCATTTCAATAAATCATCTAATTTTTCTCAAACTGCGATCATTTGTTTTTCTGTACATGTGCATCACTTCTACCGATTTTCGTCCCATTCAAATAACTCCTTCTTGGTGCGTCTTTTTTTTTTTTTTTTTTTTTTTTTCTCTAAAAGTGTATATAATCGAGGTTCATATGTGAAATGCTGTACGTATCATTTCTTACACTTCAAACATGTCTATTTCTGCGTCAGATTTCTATTTTGGATAACTCTAAGTGTTTTTTGGCATTAAACTAATCAAGTTCGTGTTATCGAAATTAGATAGCATGCACAATTCGTATCCTCACTTTAAGACCGTATCTTTTCTCTCACCGTAATAATGTAGGGCTGTAATTATACATTCTTATTTTCATTAACTTATAATTTTTATTTATTCAAAACTCTAGCTCTGAAATATGAAAGAATTTCGGATAAATAAGTCTGAATTTTGAGCAGGTCTGTGTGTGTATTTTTCTTTTATTTCATACAAATAATTTAGGTTCATATTTTTTCCGAAATAAGTAAATAAAAACAATTCTTCTTGATAGTTCGAAGGTAACAAATGAGATCATACAAAATTTGGCTGTTTTTTCTAATTGACTTCCCAATGCAGGGAAAGTTATCGCTTTTAACGTTAAATCAATATATTAAATAAAGGCAGAAGGGTAAAACTACAAAAAAAAGGGGGAAGGAAGAAAAAACAGAGAAAATAATAAAAAAAAATTTTTTTGAAAGGTTTCAGATTTTAAATTACGTCTAAAGGGGCGTTGTTTTAACGTTTTGTGTGTTACTTTTATTTATTAAATATTATGTTCTTCGCACTTAAACCATAAAATTCAAATCAACGGCAATATCGCAAAATAATTTTAAAATGAGCATATCTTTAGAATTTCCGATGCACAGTTCCGCGCGCTGGAGATAAAAAGGGTTTTTTTTTTTTAATTATTATTATTATTTCCCCCTTCCGTATAGTGTTGCTCGCTTTGAAATCGTTGAGTTTGTTAATCAAAAATTCGTTAAAGTTTTACAAAATATGAATAGGTAATAAAGCAAATTTCAAATTCGGGCTTCCAGATGCCAATATTCGGGTGGAAACGTACGTTATTCGAAACTGGATGACTTTAGGTACCATTGTTATATCACAATGCAAGAAACATACATACATTTATGCAGATTCTTCATTATTTAATTTCTTCAAATATAATTCGGGGCGATAATCTTGGGTGGCAACAATTTGAAAAGTGTAACGGACATTTATAGTGAACCAACGCAAAATGCCAAAACGGAAATAATAGTCCTTCAAAGCAAATTTCCCCTTTGGACTAAAAAGTGTGAAAAGTCGGGCTTCGCTCGAGTAAAGGATTATTCTAAAGTAATCGTAAATCAATAGCAGCTATTTGTAGAAAGGAGTCTAGTTTTATTTTGCTATAATGCGATGCAATAGTTAATAAAAATTAAAGAAAAGCCCACTTATGGCTATGATTTTTGAGTCCTGATTAAAGTGAGTTAATTTTCAACTCTTCTAGTCTAGCCCTGCTCTAAACCAACTTACGGCCACTGCATATTAGAAGAAAAGCCAATTTAGTGAAATACTTCAATAAAATATACAGCTACGGCTCCCAAAATCGTACTTCCTTTTATCTGCATACTTGGTACAACAATCAAAGACTCAAGAAATACGGCCTTTTTAGCTTAGCAAAGGCAAAGAACCTGACCTCTCGGGAAGTTGCACCTCTATCTCTAAGATCCTATATTGATCCCTCAGAGGGACTGCTGCGAATTTTCTTCCACTTTCATCTGAAATCCACTGCAAACAAACAAACTCACCATGAAGACCATCTTAGACAGCTGGTCTGGAAATTATTAGTTGCATTCCTATAGATACAGTGCAGGTCTATATTGACGGTCGTACAGAAAATCTTACTGGCAGCGGTATTTTTATTAGGACTTCCCACCTTGAGACTACAATAACGCAAAGCAACCCTGACACTCGCTCAGTCTTCAGAAGAGAGTTAATTGCGTTTAATGTGGGGCTTGATGCTATCATGTCTTATGATGATTGATTTTGGGGAATTATGGATTTTATCGGATAGCCGCAGCAGTGCACTACAACATCTTAGTGGCTGGTCCTTCGCAAACAATGAAACCAGCATATCTATTCTGCTCAAACTCAGGAAGATCTCTCAGACACACGACGTTGACCTCCCAGTGGATCCCATCACTTTCTCTTCGCTTACTTATCAAGAACTATACTCAAATGAAAGATCTAAACTCAATTTAATATGGCGTATTTCAGCTACGCACCAATGGTGCACAGGAACATCCCCTGGCTCTATGCTGGAAATCAAATGCGACTGTGGTTCCCAGACTGCTCTGACTAGAGTAACAAGGGGCTACCTTCAATGTCTTTCATTTGATAGTGACAGAACATTCCAACCCACTTGTAAAAAATGCTGTGACCATCCAGCTTCACTGGATCACATTCTGAGGACATGCATCGGACTTTGTAAGGAGGACTTATCCGATCCCCTTATTATTATAGATTTTTTGGCGGTCAACAACCTTCTGGAACTGATCTGACATATGTCAGTTCTTTTGAAGATAAGCAACAACAACAATTTTCGACTAGTAATCCATGATTTATAGTCGTGAAACATTTATCTTTCTAATAAAGTTAGCTGCGGCTACAGTCGAAAGTCAAATGATGTCAGCCTCAATAATCATTTCTTATTCACAAACTTCTACCGAGTAAAACCTATCTTCTTAATGTTATCTTTATATATTCGATTTCTCATTTACTATATTACATTGGAGTGTTGACTGAAAGCAGCTGAATTTTTGGAAGCCTGTAAGACAACAGTTTTAATTTCCAAAATTCAATTATTGTTTAAATTACATTTTAACTGTTCCATTAATGTTATTACTATAATTTTTAGATTGTACTTATGACGGGGAATCAAGATGTTTGCTACTACAATTTCTTGTGTTCTCACCAAGCATACGGTATCAGCGACTTCAATCATTTCTACAGCAATATCGGCTATGTGATGCTCGGAATTCTCTTCCTTCTGCTTGTTTGGAGAAGGTAAGTATTTTAAATGGGTTCTATAATTCGATAAAGATGGGGGAACAAAAAGAGAAAGAAAGTTTTAATTATACTCTTAAGGATCTGGAATAATTAAGCGACTCCTATCTTCGCGTATGTTCTAGTTCTTTTACTTCATGAGAGGGAGATTTAATAGAGATTCCATTATCCGAACAATCCGTTGTTCTAATTTGTTGAAATTTGCTCGGACGGATATCAGCAAAGATTCCGAGAAAATATGAAAATAAAACGTTTATATAATAATCGGAATGCTTCGGAATCTTCCTAGCTTTCTTCTCATAGTATTCGATATTTTATTGTTAGACCTCTAATTTCTAATCGAAAACTTCTTAATTATTGTTCTTATATTGGTACTTTCAACCCTATCCAAAGATTCAGCTTTCCTTATACCAGGCTTCTTAATGTTTTTGAGCTTCGCGGGGGGGGGAGGGGAACTCGTTTGACGGTATAATTTGTAACTACGGCTGCAGATTCAAAAAAAAAAATGTACTTTAAACCAAAAACTTAAATTTTACTGATTCTTTAAAAAATTGAAATAGCAAGAAGGTCAACTGCGAATTATAAAAAATAAATATATATATATTACGCTCAAAGGGGCGTTTTTTAACGTTTTGTCTGTTACCTTTCCTTTTCGCACTTAAAGCATAAAATTCAAAACAGCAATATCGCAAAATAATTTTTAAATTAGCATATCTTTAGATTTTTCGATTTCCAGTCTCGCGCGTTGCAGATAATTTTTTTTTTCCTATATTGTTATTGCTCGCGTTGAAATCTTTGAATTTCTTAATCAAAAACTTATAAATGCTTTACAAAAGCTGCCGTTTACTGCGACTTTGGGAAAACGAGTCCTTTATTCTGTCCTTACGTACAGATGTCACGCAAAAATATCATTAAATTGAATTCGATAACGGTCAAAATGGAAATTTTCATTGAAATATGGCACCCGAAAATTTTCGCGATTACAATGCTTCCTTTACTTCGTATAAGGAAGTAAAAATCAAATTAAATTACATTTTATAAGTGCTTTTAATTGCGATTAAAATATTTATTCTTGGTTTAATTTGGATGAATAATGAAAGTGCTCTAAAATGTTCATGTTTTTTTGGTATTTGAGGATAAAAAAATTCGCGGCTATTTTAAGTTAGTTAGTAAATCCAAAAGAAACATATGAATTACTGTATTAAAAATCGGTATCTTTATATTTGACTTAATTCATTATTTTTCTAACATTTAAAGGAAACGAAATCAATAGTTAATAAACATCGTCCTGTCATAATGAATCTTTGAAGATTAAATTTAAAAAAAAATCTTTTCTAGAATTCATATTTATGCCGCTCACACGTGAACGTGTTTAGTGACTGTAACTGCGTACCGATGGGCCCGGGTTCGAATCCCGGAGAAGGCATGGATGTAAAATGTCTGTCTTTTCGTGGGAGGTAACGGTGGCCGCCAATTAGATGCCTCCATAATAAAATCACCATCACTTCTGGCCTTAGTAGTGGCCAAAGGCTAAAATAGCTAATCCCCACCATAGAAAGAAATCATAGCGGTTAATTGAATATTAATGTTTTTAGTAGTTTTTTAATTTATTCTATTGTACATTTAAATTCATTTAATTCAAATAAAAGTCGAATTACTGACGTGCAGTATTTCATGCTATTCTCAGAAATGTATATCACTTTTTGAATGCTTATTTTACATATTTTTATTTTCCTTTTGCGTTTCAGAGAAAGTTTACTTGGTGACTGGGATGCGAATCTTCCTTTGGAAGAGGTAAGTTTCAAATAATTATTAGTCCAAAGGGGCTTTGTCCCTGAAAAACTATTGTTTTCGTTTTGCGATTTTGCAATGAATCACTATAAATATCCGTTTCACTTTTCAAACTGTTGCCACCCAGTGTTAGAGTCCTGCATTATATTTGAAGAAATTAAATAATAAAAATCTGCATAAATGTATGTCTATTTTTCGCATTGTGATAAAACAACGGTACATAGAGCCATCGAATTTTGAATGACGTAATCCTCCTACGAATATGGGCATGTGGAAGACCAAATTTAAAATTTGGAATTTGTTTTATTATCTATTTCATATTTGTAAAACTTTAACGAATTTTTGATTGATATGTTCATTTTAAAATTATTTTGCGACATTGCTATTGAACTGAATTTTGTGATTTAAGTGCAAAGAACATGATATTTAATAAATAAAGGTTAAATAAACAAAACGTTAAATAAACGCCCCTTTGGACGTAATTTAAAATCTGAAACCTTTCAGATTTTTTTTTGTTTTTAATTTTAGTATTATTTTAAATGTTCAATACCGTCAGTTATAAAATTCTTACAGAATTAAATACAAAATGATGTAGAGTTTCCCTTATTTTGCATAACAAATTATTTTAAGTTTTGGTACCTTTCCTGAACCTCTCGTTTTCCCCTCGCATTTCCTCGCCAGAATGCAAATTTAAAGTTAAGTGGGTATTCAAAGGGTCGAATCTTGTAGTTTATTCAGAACGTGATTTCGCTAGCCAGCGTACGTTACTAGTCTTTCCTTGCTGTTACGCAGAGTTTCTGATACTCCTTTTTGGCCATTTATAAGCACATCGCCGGGTAGGTTGTTGAGTCAGTCTCGTTAGCCTTAAATTGTTAGTCCATCACTGCTCCTTGAATTTATTGTGAATTATTCTTAAGTTCCACCACAAGTCGTCGGTGTTTTTGTATACACGAAGTGCGTGTATGTTTGTTAAGAGTTTGAAGAATAATAAATGGTTATTTTACCCTTCTTCTATGCTGGTATTCTTTTGCGCCTGGGCTAGAAGTCATCATATTATCTCGTAAGATCATTTTGACTGTATGTTAGCAAAGAAGGTACCAACTTGCAATATGACTAAGAGATATTTAGGAGAACTATAGATATTATACATACTTCTGGATACATTTTAATTTGATTTAGATACTTATTGTAAAAATTATTTACGACTTTATTTTTATGTCATGAATGTGATTAACAGGTTTTCTTTCATAAAGGAGTTTTAGCCAGTTCTTTGAGCTTTCTCTGTCAAATTTTTATAAGGAAATCATGCCAAAAAGAAACTTTCATATTATTTCGATCAACAAGGTCATAACTACTTTGTAGCTGCCTTTAGATTATTTTAAAATTTTTTATTTCTGTCATTATGAAAGGAGATTTAGAACAGGGAAACTGAAACTTTTTAAGTCATTCAAACAATTCTCAATCCTAAAATGCAAATCAATGCTTCTGTCTCAGTATTATTCCTGACAAGTGTCAGTTTTGCAGCTTTTTTATTATTATTATTATTATTATTATATTATTATATTATTATTATTATTATTTATTTCAAAGCTGTTATGCACTTTGTTGTTACATGTATCTTGTTCTGAATAATCTAGCTAAATGTAATCATCTCCTCGTATTGGTTTAAAAGCTGCCCAACAATTTTCTCTCCCTTTACTCTTTTTTCTTGCCCCCTTATTTTCTATTTATATATTCATATTATAAATGTAATTGCCTTAAATAAGTTACAAATGAAATTTTTATGCATTTTGTGATTTAAATGTGGAAAAGTTATACGTTTTTTTCAGCATTACTTTGCGAAATACATCCTCTGTCAACAAAGTTCCAGGACAATTGTTTTTTATTTCCGAGTTTGCAATCTTAAAAAGGAACAAATGTTGTTTTTGTTACCTGGTATAAATTATTACTTGACATGACCTTGACCACGTTTCCGCGCAAACTTGAAAGGGGCAGAGTTGTGCTTAACAACACACTGTTCGAATTGTAGTCGCATTCGTTAAGGTGACACAATGGATGCTGATTGTGAGCAAAGAGTGAACATTAAGTTCTGCAAGCTCGGAAAAACCTTTACTGATACGTCGAACATGATTAAGCAAGCATATGCAGGCGAGGCACTTTCAAGAAGTCGTGCTTTCGAGTGGCATAAAAGGTTTCGTGAAGGCAGAGATTCAGTGCAAGAGATCCAAGAGCTAGTCGCCCGTCTGTAGCACATACCGATGCGAACGTGGAGCCTGTGGTTACAGCCGATAACATCGCGGACGAAAACGTCGCGGAGAAAACAACGCAAGGCGAAAGCGTCGTGCTACAAAACATCGTGGGAGAAAACATCGCAAAGAGAAAACATCGCAGTTCTAAAACATCGTGGTAGAAAACATCGTCGTCGAAAATAAAGCGGTTCAAAAACTTCGCAGTTTAAAAACATCGTCGTCGAAAATATCGTGGTAAAAAATAAAGTATCTAAAAATCATCGCATGACGATAACATCGCAGACGTGCTTTCTTCAGGCTTGGCATTTTTACTTTCATATTTTTTATTAACTAATAAATTTTTGCTGAGAAAATAAGAAGGAAACTTAAGCATAAAAAATTAATGCAACTTATAGCACTTAATAGAATTTTAAACTGACATAGTTAACTAACAAAGGCCATTAATAAATCATTTGTTATAAAGTTTTTACTGGTAATTTTTCACGAAAAGTATAATCTATAAGTTGCATTTAATTTTCTATGCTTAAGTTTCCTTCTTACTTTTTCAGCAAAAATTTATTAGTTAATAAAAAAATGTGAAAGTAAAAATTATCCTTCTTTACATCTTGCGCTCACAAATCATTATGGGAATATCCATTTACAATTATTAAAACCTGAAAAAAAAGCACGTCTGCGATGTTATCGTCATGCGATCATTTCTAATACTGTTACGAAATGTAAATGCGTGGTGAAATGGCTTCCCCCGTGAAGCAGTTTTAGGGTTGCCATAAAATGACAAAGGAGGGCAGGGTTGCCACATTTGGCACAAAATCGCCCGTTTGGTGACATTTGGCGACAAAATTGGCGATGTACCATGGACGGTTGGAGAACCTTCTGGAACGACTTTTTACTGGTTTAACCCAGAATGTTCTCGAACACAAGATGACAGCTATATAAACCCTGCTGGCCCGCAGTCAGTTAGTTTGTGCGTCGTCTAGCGAGCTGATAATCAGTGATTGAGCGAGCGTCTCGAAGTCTAGCGCTGGATTGGTCGTCGAGTGCATCGAAGAGTCTCTTAGTGTATCGCGGTTAGTGCAACGTGGAGTTCCGAGAACGACCGAGCAGAGTCGGAAACTGTACTCTGGTGCTTTGAACACCAGAATACAGTGAAGTAATACAGTGAAGCTGTCTCCACCGTCATTGCCTGAGAGTGTGAAGGCTGTGTCGCTGATTATTCCAGCGTGTTTATTGTAGATCTTCGACGACTGCAAAAAGTGTTTTGGAGCTGTCCGGATTAGTATTGATAAATAAAGTGTGTTTCGATGTTCCATCAAGTGCTGTCGTCGTTATTCACTCCAAATCTGTACGAACCCGTGAAGAAAATAACGTAACAACTGGTGTCAGAAGATAACATAACAATATTGTTATTTTTAGGACCCTAAAATGTTTTCAGATTTCCAAGATTTTAAAAATATAATATTTTATAGATATCATTCGGAGCGTAAATCCTTGATTCTATATCACGATGGGAAAAATGACAGTAAGGTATTTAAGAGGTATGTCTTTGATAGCCCTTTGAATATCATTTTACATTATTCAATTTTCTTCGGTTTATTAACCTGTAGAGTTTTCTTGTTTGTTTCGGGATCATTCAAGGATAGACTCTACTGAAAAGATTGAGTAGCGAATTCTTGCTGTGTCCTTGAAGAACAAATACTGCAGAAGGTTTAAATAACCTTTTTATTTGAAGTGAACTTGAAGTTTGCACTCACCGGTGCTCACAATTACCACCACTTGTGTCTAAGTAACTGGAATAGAAAATAAAAATGTAAAATCACAGTAAATAAAGATGGGCTACACGACTAGCTCCTTAATTATGTAAACCGCTCAATCGGCTGCGCACAGCAAAGCCGAACCTAGAATATCAATATCATCTAAAGGGAGTGGCTAAGCACCGACTATTTCACGTAGAAAGCTACCTAAAACAATCAGCATCAATTCCGAACTGACTTTCCTACTACTCTTAAAACCGCTTCTTAAATACTGATTCCGGACTCACTTAGATTTGCATACCACGTCATTAAAATTTACATTTTGTCAAGAAATTGAAATCAGAAGAGAAAGGAGGGTTTCGCAAACTAAAAATAATTGGTTAGAATAAAATAAGGTCTTTAAAAACCTACCTGAAATTGAGATGCTATTAATTCAACTCAGGCGAATATCGTAAGAGTGCCTGGCTTTTTGTGAAATATCTGAAAATAATAATAAATAATCTTTGCCAAAAACGAGACTCGACTGAAAAATGTTTAAAGCGGAATTCGAGAAACTAATGCCGATATTTTTTACCTCAACTTGTTATGTTATAGGAATTGGTTGGTTGGTTTGCTTTTATTGGCACAAAACCCTGAAGATTATGATGCGCCACGTGAATGGCGAATAAACTTCAAATGCACAAAACTGAAATATATTAGATAAGCAGCGTTTCGATAGTAAAATAAAAATCATTCACTTGTGTACCATAGATAAAATATAGCGAAACTAAAATGCATAAGGAGCATAATACTGTATAAGATAAATTGTTATCATCTATCATATCCTGTAATGTTCATGAAGGTATATACAGATGAATGTGGAAAAAGCTCTAGCAACAGGTAGATCAGGAAAAAAAAAACGGTAAAAAGAAATGTGTTTTAAAAATCTTATGAGGTTAATATGGGTTTTTCTTCCAATGAGTTCTGTTAAATTAGTATTCGTAGAATTAAAATGATACACTACGTTTCTGACTAAAAGCAGCGCAACAGATTGGGATGGGAATTATCTCGGAAGAAAAGTGGCTCCGCAGTGGCTAAAGATGGACATTCGACAGTTATCATATTCCACACATCACACATGATTGGCAGGTCTGAACGAACTATTAAAAAACTGTGTAAGTAATTTCTTATTCAGAACATACAGGACAACTCCATATTGTCAGATTTATAGATCACTGAGTATGTCTAAAATAAAAGCACAAACAAAAAAGTACAGTGCGAATGGTGGCATATCAGATACCATTAACTCAATGTATTATGCTGAAACATAAGTAATGACCGTTTATGTTGTGTTTAAAATTACGCAGTAAAAATAAAATGTCATAATGTTTCGTGTTATTCGAAAGATTATCTTTCCTTGTATAACATGGTGTATTTTATTTTTTGTCTGAGCTAATTTTTATTATTTTTCTGATCATTAAAAGGGAGTGTGAAGTGGACAAAAATAAGCATTTTTGAAACCTACCTTCTTTTCGCGTTTAATCGAGGCGCCAGTGCTGCCCGAGGGATTTGTGAAGTGTATGGGAAAAGTGTAATGCCTAAACGAACTGCAAGAAATTGGTTTGCCAAATTCAAAAATGGAAATTTCGACCTGGAAGACGCTCCTCGTTCCGGACGACCACATGAGTTTGATGAGGAGCATTTGAATTTCTATCTGCACGAAGACGCGCATCAAGTCGGAACGAATGGGTTGTAGCCAAATGACTACAGTTCGACATCTTGGGTCTATAAAGAAAGTCCAAAAACTCGGACATTATTGACTAATTTATTGTTTTTTGTTTTGTTAAAATAAAAATTTTTAAACTAGAAGTACGGCCATTACTTCTGTTTCAACCCACTAGTTCACGGTAACTCTGCTTTTTTTTTTTTTTTTTTTTTTTTTTTTTTTTTTTTTTTTTTAAATCAGTGATTCTGCGAGCCGATACTTATTTCAACTTGGAAATTGATAAAGTTTGGGCGTTCCGCGTATTTGTTCCTGACCTGTCCTTGTATAAAAGCTACTAAAACAGAAAGTACAAGAGTCCCCCTTAAGCTGCAGGTTGTATGCTTTTACATTATCCTTCGTATGTGAAACCGCAGACAATACTAGGCTCTATACGTGGCATTTATGTAACAAAATACGCGACAAAGTTATAAAATATGCACAGTTTAAAGCTTACTACTAAATAGCGTCTAGTAAGTACTTATTTTGATCGTAACTTAGCATAAATATTTTGTATACATCTATAATTACTCATTACTTTTTTGTGTTTTTATTTTTCAAATACAGTCGACCGGAATACCTCATCATTTTGGTCTTATGTACGCTATGGGCTGGGCCCTCATCATGGAAGGCGTGCTGAGCGCTAGTTATCACATTTGTCCCAACAGAGCCAATTTCCAATTTGGTTAGTATATACTATACGTATTTAATATATACTTATGTACATAACCTTATAATATATATATATATATATATATATTTACAGCTATCAATTCAGACATTTAAAGACTCAACATAAAATAAGTATACAAATATTTAAAATTTAAAAAACACATAAAAGGGCGGATTAAATAGTATGTTCACCTAAAATACATACCGGGTGGTTATAATTAAACTTACTCCATAAAAGGCATCCTACAGCGCAAACAGGTAAACAGAATGCAACGAAATTTTGTATATGGGCTATACACGAGATGCGCTCACGGAATTTTGAAAAAAAATATTAAATCCAAAATGTCCACCAGAGGACGCTTTTTCTGGAAAAGCATGAAATTTAACGCAATAAACGACGAAAACGGATTACAGAAACAATACTAACAATCCAGAACAGGAAATTGTGAGTAATAAAATGCAAAACCGGGAAAAGGTCAATTGTAGGGCAAAAATGTCCAAATTTGCATGCTTGGGAAGAAGTTTTATGCAAAACAAGTTAGGGTATAAAACATTTGCAGACGTTATCATGTTTAAGTCGATACTTCCAGCTGTTCTATCGACAGTCTCTTTAGTTGAACGTGCGTTATTGGTAAAGCTGTTTTACGAAAACAAGGGAAATGCTTCTGCTACAGCTCGTAAATTTCGTCATAGAAAGAACCTACGGCGTGGACCAATTGTCTACTAAACGTATGTGGGCCATGATTAAGATATTTGATGAGACGGGGAAATTAGGAGTTCAACCTGGAAGAGGCCGTAAACGTGTCACACCGGTACTTGTTAATACCGTCAAGACAGCTGTTGACGCATAGTCACAGACCTCAGAATTTGGGGGCACTAGCACGCGTTCAGTTTCTCGACAGACAGGCTATTCTTACAGCACCATCCAAAAAGTACTCAGAAACATAATGCACTACTTCCCATACAAGTTCCGCCATACCCAGGAGCTGCTTAATAGGAACAAGCCACAACGTCTCTCATTCGCAATCAGTTTTCTCAACAGAATGACTGTTGATCTGTCATGGCCTTGGAATATTCTGGGGAGCGACGAGGCTCATTTCTACCTCAATGGGACAGTCAAGACACAGAATTTCGGAAAAGAAAATTCGCGGATCCACACTGAAATTCCCCTGCAGTTATCAAAGGTCACTGTCTGGTGTGGATTCACGACAACATTCATCCGTGGGCCATTCTTCTTTGAGGAAATTGGTGAACGTGGGCCTGTCACATGTTCCGTTACGGGCCGTCGGTATTATGACATGCTGCAGACGTTTGTTGTGCCGCAACTACAGCAAAGGGGGTCCTTACATCGCCCATTTTCATGCGGGATGGTGCGCCCCCCCCCACATATCCATAGGTCCGTAAAGGGGCTACTGGCCTCAACACTTCACAGAGAAACGTGTTATTAGTCGCTCCTTTCCTAATCCATGACCACCAGATCTGGCCGGATCTAACTTAATTATACTTCTGGTTATGGGGATTCTGGTTATACGGATTTCTGGTTATGGGGCTATTTAAAAAGTCTGGCGTATCGTGGAGGTGTTGCGATGTTGAATGACTTAAAGAACACTACAACTCTTCATGTGCGAAGCCTCACAAATGATCAGTTACCGATCTACTATTGAACACACTATCCATCGACTTGAAGTTTTGCAGGTGAATGAGGGTGGTTACGTGGAGCGCTTTTTCCCACATCATCCTGAACACGATTTTAACAACTGTTCCTCTTGTGCAATTTCGTCCTAATCTGTTCTTATTTCTGCAAAGTGAACTGTTTTTGTTTCTTCCTTACCTTTACTTACTGTGGTTCGATGACGAGGTGATCAAAAACTAGTCAATAAATGTTAATATTGTTTCTGCATTCCGTTTTGGCCGTTTATTCTGTTAAAATTCATGTTTTTCCCGAAAAAGCGCCCTCTGGTGGACATTTTGGAACCTTTTTTTTTTTTTTTTTTTTTTTTCGAAATTCCGTGAGCACATCTCGTGCATAGCTGTAGGATGCCTTTTATAAGTGGCATTTAATTATAACCACTCGGTATATATAAAATATTTTATTTCATAGTTCCTATTATTTTTCACGTGTTAACTTAGCAGGTAATTTATTATTTGCATTCTTAACAGTTAAAAAAATTTGATGTGGACACCACATGACTTCCTTGTACGGCCTGTTAAGTTACATACATTTTTTGCTGCATTTCACTTAAAAACATTTCCTCGAATTTCATTAATTCAGTTCTCACTTCGCAGCAAAGCAAAAATACATCAAAACTCAAAACATCTACATTAAAATAACTATAAAATACAGAAAAATGTAAAACACCAAATACAGTTAAAACAGTTAAAAAAAAATTACAATTAAAATTACTGTTTCAACGCAAAAACAAGCAATTCGGCCAGCCGGTCAGAAGGTAGCTTTTTGGTGCCCAAAACTAAGAGTTTCCTTTTGGTCCCACTCGGCAAAAAGACACGGAAGCTTTTCGTTCTAACGTTCTGAGGCTACTCGTTTTTGAGTTATGCGAGATACATATATACGTACACGAAAAAAAAAAATCTCTTCTGAATCCATTTTAAATCAGTTTTATACACTGGTGTGCAAAACTTAAGCAACAGGTGTTCTTTTTGGCATAACTCCACAAGAAATCAACTGAGAGACATAAAATTCAGAATTAAGATACAGCATTTTGTATTTAAACGACGACGAAAGCATAATTGCTCTAAAAATGAATACAATGCATATAGTATGGAATCAAACAAAAACAGGCTTTATTGAACTCATAGTATCGCTACACATGATTGTCTGTACAAGAGGAAGAACAACAAGCAGGTGTTCCTTAGTATGAGATATGCCCTCCCCTTACTGCAATGGTTGCTTCGAACGGTCTCTCCATACTCAGCACCAGATTGTCCAACAGATCTTGAGGTAAGAGTGCCCATTCCTCAATCAGCATCTGTCTCAGTTGCTGGGTGTTCCCCGGAGGATGTAATCGTGTCACAAGAGTCTACCCAAAGCATCCCACACATGTTCTATGGGGTTTAAATCAAGGGTCAATCGCTGGTCAATCCATTCGAGTGATATCTTCACTTTTCAGTAGCTTCTGAACAGCAAGAGTCCGGTGTGGCCGTGCATTATCATCCATAAAAACGAAGTCTGCTCCAATGGCACCTCAGAACAGACACACATGGGGAAGGATCCCCTCCTGACGATAGCGATCTCCGGTTACAGAACTTCTGTCGAAAACGTGGAGCTCTGTGCGCCCGTTCAGCATAATGCTTCTCCAGACGAGATCTTCAGGACACCGTAACGGTCTCTTTCCGTAATGTTACTGAGATTAAACCGTGTCCCCGACCTTCTCTCCAAATCAATTGCTCAAAATCATTGAGAATCGCTTGTGGCACTAAAACAATTCTCATCCGTAAGGAGGATGCGACTCTATTGACGAGACGCCCAGTTTTTGCGCTCCTTGCACCACTGTAAATGGTGGATGCCGATGGCCAACTTTCAAAGGGATGCAGCGTTCAGGACGGCAGGCGCAATAGGCCACCTTTGTGAAGGTGTTTGGACACAGTAAACCACGACAATTGTCGCCCGTTGCTGTTCACAGTTGTTGAGCTGTGGCGCCTTGCTGACTGGTTTCGGGCTCTTTTCGTCTGCAAGGACTATATATCTGTTTATTTTGCTGCAGTTGTTTTCCTGGGACGGCCACCACCAACCTTTCTAATAGCTGTAACCTATGGTTTGGAAGGCTTTCTAAACGCGCGAAACGCCACTTTTGTTGATTCCGAACTGATCAGCTATACTGGTCACACTTCGCCCCTCTACTCCAGATTTTCGATCATTCTTCCACGTGTGAAGTCATCCAGATGATTTCACTCTAGCCATATTTCACGAAAGAACTCACTTGTACTTGCAGCGAATGTCTTTAACTTGGCATCTCCATCCTTCCTTTTATGGTAGTCTTCGAGTTGAGCGCGCCGACTTACGCGTTTTGTATACGCACACGTAGCCTGTGAACGTTTTTTTCCCTGGCATTTGCATACGCATGACCTTTCTACTGAAATGCATTTTCATTGCACTGATAGGAAGAACCCCTTTCTGCAATTTCATGACTATCTGATTAAAATTAATTAATTTAAATTAATTGTTGCTTAAGTTTTGCACACCAGTGTAATTCGTTTTGGGAAAGCGTCCTTTATTCTGTCCTTACGCAAAAACATCGTTAAATTGCATTTGATAGCGGTCAAAATGGATATTTTCGTCGAAATATGATACTTAGAAATTTAAGTGATTACCGTACTTTCGTGATTAATTTACTTCGCACAGGGAAGTAAAAATAAATGTTCTCTCCGCATTCGGAAATTAAAGTCTGTAAGAAACACCCGGAAATTTTTCAAGAAGAAGATAATTTTTTTTTTTTTTAAATGTAAAATAGTGCTGTCAATGAGCATTGTTGATTTGTTACATAATTAACACGTAAAATAATTACACGTTTGACAATTAAGATAATTATGACTGATTTCCAGAAAGATCTCCTGTAAAGACGATTAAATTTTTTCCGTGCATACATATTTTTACTAGCTGCCATTCATTACAAGCAAACTTAGAAATCTGTAATATTTACTCCAAAATATACCATGTGAGGACCATGAATAATCGTCATATGGTAGCCAAAGAATTTAAATGGTCTTATTAATGAAATTTAATTTTTGAAGTATTGCTCGATTTCACTGCGTTACTCTTTCATTTCAGATACAGCTTTTATGTATGTCATAGCAACGGTATGCATGCTGAAACTGTATCAAGCGAGGCATCCAGACATTACAGCTAGATCTCATACTACATGGATGATACTTTCCATAGTCATTGTTTTAAGCGTTGGTGGAATGGTATGTTTTAACTTATATTTTTATATTCCACTTTTGATTTAATTTGCATAGGTAAATTACTAAATTATGCATGATCTTGTAAGGTGTACTTTAATTTTATGACAGATATTTTTGATTCTGTAACCCTTTCCTTTCAATTATTGTTTCTCACATACAACTCCCTACCAGAATGAGTTTTTAGAATCGCGCTGAATGTAAATGAGGTAGAAGGAGACTATGCCTGGCTGTTTCGTTAGTAAACCTATTACGGTCGGCCGTATTGTACGTGCCTGTTGATAATCGCCAGCTAAATTAACCAGTTAACTGTGACGCCCTCTCTTACAAGTGCGCACCGTTTTGTGTCGCCAGAATCGAGCCATGACGAGTATATTCGTCAATCACAGAGTAAGTTGCATTGGTAAGATATTGTATGAAAAAGATGGGTTCATTTTAAAAAATTGAAAATTTTATTACTAGTATTTACTTATTTGGTTAACATAAGTATATATTACATACATATTAAACTAAAAACTGAATGAATTAAATTAAATATTATACATATAAAAGTACGAATTTAAATTCCTGCTGTGGAGTGATATTCAGCGAAACAAAGTACTATACACAATGCGACTTTGCAAATCGAACACCAGTAAAGCGATTCCTTCCTGATCTTACGTTTGTAACAATGCGAACACCTTCGCGTAGGGTTGGATTTTTTTTCCGATGTTCCGGGTATATAATCCGGAACATGATTCCCGCCTAATTGGCTTATATTAGGTCTAAATGGCCGAGTTTGTGTCGATTTATTTCTTTCAATTGGATACGTCGCAAAAGTGTCTTCAATAAATTTCAGCAAAAAGTTGATACTCGATTATGTTCCATTATTTTTTTTTTTACACAATATGAATTCAGACACATAATGTCTAAGAAATGGAGAAATATCTTACTAGTACTTTTTGAGTCGTCTTCTTGCTGTGGAGTACGCTATGATGATTTTTTATTATAATCAATCACTAGCTCCGGTTTCTTTGTTATTATTTTTCTTTTTTATTCTATTGGTTTTCATTTACTACAAGTACTTACTAAATAAACTTCCCTCTTATCTTTCCATTTTATTATACGCATGACGAGTATACTCGTCAATACACAAAATCGTGCCGCTTCTCCATGACGATTATACTCGTCAGTCACAGTTAACTGCTTAAATAAAGGGCCAACTACATTATATTTTCGTGTCTGGCTTCGGCTAAGTCAGTTTAGTATTAGATTAGTTTCTTAATTTTCTTATCTTGATTTGAAGCCCGAATGGAGGCTTACTCTCGAGAAGGGGGTCGACTGTATTATTGAGTGAATAAAAGGATATTTTAACTCTTCTCTGGACTTTTTCGTTACATTTAAACTCAGCGATAAGTCGCTAAACATTTCAATAGGTTCCTCTACATTCGGCAGAGTCCAGTTAGTGAGAAACATTATACTCTTTATATAATTTGATTCATTGAAAAATATACTTACTGTAATTATTCTGTTTAATATATTTAATACATTCAGTATGCAATGGTGGCAATTTAACGTGATCACCTTCGTTGAAATGATAACAATAAATGAAAAACCTATTCTTACCAAGCTGGTTGCAAATAGCTGTGCATTTAACAAAAATAAGCATACCCTACTTCGAAACACTAACAATTTCAAAAATAATATATGCAAGTAAATATCAATATTTACCTTGCGTGTTTGACATTCAAAATAAGGAAATTGACATTCAGAATCAAATGAGAATGGGTATAGTTGTGACACTCGGAAAGATTCACTAAAATATGATAGTTACAAAGTGATAAAAATGATGCAAAGCAACGAGAGATATCAAAACTAAATAAAAGTATTATTTCGTAGCAAAGAATTCTTTACTTCCAATGAATTATACAGAGACCGTTCGTCAAAAAATATTTCTGTTTTTACAGAAATGTTTTTTGACGATTTTCATTGTATTTACAGAAATATTTTACCTAAATTTTTGTGTTTTATATGTTCCATTTAATTACCCTTATTCTTCACTATCTATCCACACAGTAATTCTCAAATATGTAAAATATGCATTGACATTTTAAAATCTATAAATATATCAAATTTTATGTTTAGTGTTTAGTGATAGAAATGTTGCGATGTATTGTATTATTTACTTTGATTAAGCTTATTTCTAGTAACACTGAGATACTATATAACAGATATACTGTTTTATAAATTCATATTCATTTTTATTATTATCCATTTTTCTAAGAAATGATTGTTAGAATGAGAAGAAAAAAAACAGTAGCTGAATATAAAAATATTTTATCAATTCAGTAATTTTATGCATGATTCTACATATTTATCTTTCAGTTGAAGGGTGGTTTATTTGTTTGGTTGGTTTTCGTCTTCGTGCATTTAACTGTTACGGCAATCGTCAGCGCTAAAATTTATTACATGGGACGTGTCAAAATCAGTAAGTAGACAGGATAATTTTGGATAAATGATACTTTCTAAAAATTTTTATTTTACAGATTCTGATGCTTTTATGAATAAAAACCTGCATACTTAAACCACGAAAATGCCACGCAGCTTCTGGTTCCATTTAATTTTGATTCAGTTATTTCCACTTTCTAACCTAAAAAAAGGAAAGTGCTTATAATAAAGCTTTCTAAATGGAATTTTAATTTATAACAAGCCCTATAATCTCGTTTCAAATTTGGCTCTATTACCTTTTTATCTTAAAAATACTAAAATGCGCATAATAAATCGTTTCTGAAGTGCGTTATTCCAGAAGTAATGGCTGTCATATAATTCTAAATTAAAACTGCTGTTAACTAGTAATAATAAAGCACTATTCTGTTGAGAAATAAAGCAATTTACGAGTTCTTAATCGATCACACTAACTTCTTTCCCCCTTTTTAATGCCTCCTCTAGTTAACATATAGTCTGTAACCTCATTTTTAGTAAAAGAAGTACTGTAATCGCGAAAATTTTCGGGTATCGTATTTCAACGAAAATATCCATTTTGATCTATCTCGATTCCATTTAGACAATGTCTTTGCATTACATCTGTAACGTACAGAAAGAATAAAGAATTCATTTTCCCAAAATGGATTTAAAATGGATTCAGAAGAGATTTTTTTCCGTGACGTCTGTACTTACGTATGTATGTATCTCGCATAGCTCAAAAACGAGTAGCCTCAGAACGCTTAAATTTTATATATGGAACTGCTATAACATGTAGATGTGCAACCCTGTTTTTGATTGCAATCGGCTGCACCGAAAGTATATAAATATATGTATATATGTAACTGCTGTGTAACCCAGCTCGATGAGCTAAGTTCTTTTATTCTTATATGTTGGTAAATTCTGGATTTTTTGCTTTCAAAGTGATTGAATTGTATTATTCTTATGTTTCGGTTAAGGTTTTGTGCCTTTAGTTAATCTGCATGCAATAGTTGTAGAATTATCAACAATTTAAAAGTTGTTTAAGTTTCACTAAGCCTAACGACGCCACCATTTGGTTACATTTGAAACTTAGTAGTATAGTGGATAAACTCAGTTTCTGCACCAGCTTCGGCGTCTTTTTGTCGAGTGGGACGAATCTTTTTGTGCACCGAAAAATCTGTCTTTCTGCCTAATTTTAATTAATTTAAACCTTAATTTTATTTCTTTTTTAATTGGTGGAACTCTATTTGGTGTTTTAGGCTTTTTTGTATTTTATAACTTTTGAAGGCTTTTTGAGTTTTTATGTATTTTTTCCTTGCCGCGAAGTAAGAACTGAATTGATTGAATGAGAAATATATCTCTCATGAAATTCGGAGAAATAAGTTTCAATGAAATGCAACACAAAATATGTATTATTTAATAGGCCGTTCAAGGAAGTCATGCTGTGTCCACACCAGATTTTTTATCTCAGACTACAGTTATGCTGTAAATATATGAAACGTATATTTGAAGTAACTGAACAGCGAGTACATCCATTTTAGTGCCTGCATCGCTTTAATCCATTAATTATTGCACGAATTATGTTTGATTGAAGATGGCGATCCTCTGCTTATTATTGAAGAAAAAATAATCAAATCCTGGTCTAAGCATGCACATATATTATCTCCAAGTTTCGATTCTACACTTAATTTGCTTTTGCCACGGTTGAATTATATCAATCAACTTTCGGGTTGATGTATGATAATTTAAGCTTAATATTGCAGGAAATACGCTGAAAGCGAAAAGCATACCTTTTCGCAGAGGTATTTTTACTATGAATGCAAACATAATGGTGATTTTAAAAAACCTAGGCTGTCATTTAAAAAATTATTGGATATCATTAAAAAATTTGTAACTTCTTGTTGCCTTAGAAAGACAAATAGCATTCGTTTTAATTTCAGTGCATTTATTTTCAGATAAAGGAATTTTCAAGCAAATGCATCACGCTGCAATAAGAGATATAGCTGCGAAATCTTACAAGCCTACATATCCGGTAATTTTATATTTTTCTTATTTTATGCTATATTTAGAAACAAAGATTTTTTTTTTCTTTTTAAATTCTCATTCGTGTTTCATTCGTAGGGTCGTTTTGTCGCGCTCAGCATAGCGGTTCTCTTTAACATTGCTGTGTAAGTATGCTGTGTTTTCTGAAGTCATTAATATAAACTTTCAATGATTTGAAGTTTCAAAAATCAATTATTTTTATTCTAATTATTTTTATTCTAATTTATTTTCATTCTAAATGATTTTATGAAATTGATATAGTTGGTTAAAAGGATGTAGAACGTTTTACCCATAGATGAGTTTTCCAAGTCCATCTTTCACTAAATTATAGAATGAAGTACCTTACAAACGATCGGATTTTGTTTCAAAGAACGAACCTCTTCTTTTTTTATGTCAAAAAAAGTCTTTCTGTCATCTCCCCACTATTTTTTTTCTTTTTTACGAAATCTGAGTTTGTCAGTAAAATTATTTTAGACAGGGCATAATTTCTAAAACTAGAACCGTCGAAATCCTGTAGAAGGCCATCAGAAAAAAGTAAGAAAATAAACAACGAATAATAAAAATTAAATAAAATTCAAAAGAATAAAAAATCTGAAAGCTTTCAGATTTTACATTACGCCCAAAGGAGCGTTTTTTTAACGTTTTTACCTTTATTTCTTTATTTTTTTAAGTATCATGTTCTTCGCACGTAAACCATAAAATTCAATTCAACAGCAGTATCACAAAATAATTTTACGATGAGCATATCTTTAGAAATTTCGATACACAATCTTGCCTGCTGGAGATAATTTTTTTTTTTTTTTTTTTTTTTTTTTTTTTTTAGCAGACAGTGCGAGAACGATACATACATTTATACAGATTCTTCATTATTTAATTTCTTTAAATATAAAATAAATAATTTCTTATCGAGAAAATTTTGTTTCATTTCTTATGGTAATTTCAGAGTCGTACTGCGCGTCATCACTAACCTAATCAAAAATGTTTCTTTTGCGAAAATATCGAGCAATATCGTTATTCGACTGTTTCAGAGATCTGTATGGACTTATAAGGCAGCCAGCAAACTTCGGAAGCTTTCTGTTGAGTGTTTTCATCATGAACTTGATGATTTATCTGGTATATTACACTGCGATGAAAGTAAGTTCTATTCTGATAAATATTTTAATTTTTAGATTTTTAATTCTTTATACTGTGTTCTATGTTGGATTAATAAAAATTATTTACATAAAAGGTGCGTCAAAAATGCGATCGTTTTTGAAAAAAAAAAATAGACTCTCAGTGGAATAGAATGTGAAAATATGTATTTTTTCACATTTATTTCAAAAGCCATGTATTTTTGCTGTGGTATCGTAGTGTGTTTGACATCATCACGTTAAGTAAATACATTATTTTAATGATCAAAATGGTAAGAATGTTTTATTACATAAAAGCGTCGCGGGAGAAATTCGCAGCATTATCGTGGATCTTTTTACACAGTAATAACCCCAAGAGATGCTCAATAATAGTATGAAAAAGTGCACTTTGTCACAGTCCTGCTTCCCTCAAAAAAAAAAAAAAAAAAAAAGTCAAGTATGATTAGTGTAGACCTGTGTGTTACCGGCGGCAGATAGCGCTTCCAACTCCACGAATGATTTGTGAGGTTGCGTAGTACTTACTGCATTTTTTGAATTCAAAACATATTTATTACAATTACGAGAATTTCTTTACATATATATAATTCATGGATGGCATAGAATAATTATTGTAGTGAAGTATGTAGTCATCGTGACGTGAGGAACCTGTTAACGAGGGTCTCTCTAGTCGAGAGTTCGAGAGCATTCTGGCGTGTTGTTCGGTTGGAAAAAATCTACAAAATGAATTAGCCACGCCTCCTTAATTTTTCAGTAGTATTTTACATCGTCTGATTCGTTATATCTGGAATGATATCAGAGAAAAACAAGATCATTGGTTCGTTAGCCCTCCTGAAATCGATTGGTTTTATGACGACAGACACAGTGCAGAACACTAAAATCTCTTGATACTGGTCGTGAAGTTATGTCTCTTGTACTGTCAACCAGAACGAATGATCGCGTCTGCGATGTCAGACCGTGTCGTGTGACACATCGTAAAAGCTTGAAAACAGTGACTTGAGAAGACCATACACACAATTTTCTCATCTCTGTGTGGTCCGCCGGAGACGACTCGGCTGAACAAATGGCTGTTCCATAAGGCCAATATCAGTGGCCCTGAAAACAACTGCTGAAGAATAGCTACACAGCAGCGATCCTTGGAGGTCCTAGCTGTATAAGCGGTTGTGGTATCCTGTTCAATGGTTGTGGCTGTTGAAAACCGCTTACTTCACCAGTATCGGTATTCTGAAGAAACATTTCGTATATGAACGTATATAATGAAGCATTTAGCTAACTACTCGTATGCCCTATTTAAATAAAATAAAGACAAACGAACATCAAATACCCCGTTACAGAAATTATATAGCATACTCTATAGCCTTTGAAGGCTATTGATGCAACTCCTTGGGGTTCTCTGGAGTTCAGTAACGGTAATCTTGCATATCTGCCGCAGCAGTGTGGCGCTGCATGAACCCAGTGCTCCATCTGAAGTAAACTCCAGATTATATAGACTGTGATGGTTGTCACTACAGTGTATCTATCTGTTCACGTTTGAACGCAGTCAGTTGTTTTCGACGCACCTTATATGAAGAAGAGCTTAATTTCAATCGTCATTTAAATGCTTACACATCTTCCATATCTTGTATTTTAGATCTGGTACAAAGAAGGCCTACGATGGGTTCCCATTATGTACATGATTCTGTCATTCATCTGTTGGGGTGTTGCTCTACATTTCTTTTTAGCAAAGATCACCTCGTGGCAGGTAAAAGTCTTATTTAATTCATTGAATTTTATGAGTGGTAATTATTGTGGCATATTATTCTGTAAAATTAAATCTTGTGAAGTACTATATAAATTATTTTTCACAACAGGCTCAGCATTTCTTGTCCAAAATGTTCTAGAATCTGTAAATCTCAGCGTTTGGGCTATTCTTGCAACTTACTTTTTGTCCTTTATCATAAATTACTTAATTAAGTTTAGCCACTTTTGACTGTTCTTCGGTTCTTCTTGTCATGTAATATCATTATTGCAACGCCAAAAATTCTTTCTTAACTTTATAAGGCGAGAGATTCTCCGTGAAAATACACAAAGAAATATTTGGAGTATTAAAGTTTACCTTACGCAATTACGCAGTTGATTTTCAACTAGTAATTTATTTATTTCAACTAGTTAACTCACTCAGTAACTTATGAAGGTAAATTTTACCTTCTGAGCATTATTTCTGTGACCTTTGATTTAGGTTTTCTATGCGACTGTACACATGATTTTAAATGAAATTCTGTTATAGATTATGACAATTAGCATGTAGAGTTCTGCTGTATCTAGAAGCTTATCTAGAAGTATCTAGAAGTATCTAGTCTGCTGTATCTAGAAGTAGACCCTACTAGACTAGAAGCGAGTTATCGCTTAGTCTGAAACAAAGCACAAAGTCTAAAAGAAGGTTAAAATACTCTTTTTATTTAAGTAATAATAACTGAAAAGGACAGTGTGTGTAAGACAGGCGAACCTTCGCTACTTGCGAAAATTTAACATAAGCTAGCGTTAAATTCAAATGCAGGTAGCGTAGTCGGAGACTGTCCATAAAGTAGATTACTTACCAAAGTTAGTTAACGACGCGTATTTTTAAACGCCGGCTAGAAAGATGCTAAATGTCAGAAGCTCTGATCTAAATATTCAAAATCCTCAGCTTAAATACTAATTTGAATTCTATTGAAGATTAAGGAAAGGAGAAATTATTGTAAAATTTATTGTTTAAATTGTTATTAGTTATTGTAAAGATTATTGTTTAAATTGCTACTAGTTATCGTTAGAAGTTATTATTTAAATTTTAATAATTGGTTAAGTAACATAACCTACTGAAGAACTGCTCGGACGGCAAGAAAAACTCTGAATTCTAAATCACACTATACAGATCAAAATTGACAAGAAGTAAGTCCAAGAATCTCTTTTATTCTCAAAGGTACTGCTATAGGATCTTACTTTCTTTGTCCACATAAATTCTACGAGATTCTTCTAAGGATCCTGACTACTTCTTGCACAGGCTTAAAGGAAACAACCACAGAAGAAGGGTAAAAATAACCCTTTATTATTCTCAACTATGAACAGAAAGGCACCTCCTTTGTGCTGTACAATAACGCCAACAACTTGCGGTGGAACTTTAGGATTGTTACACGATAAATTCAAGGCTAAAGAGTAGTGTTGGACTAGCACTGCAAGTTAAGGCTAAATAGGCTGACTCGACAACCTACTCGACGTGATAATTATTTAAATGGCCAAAAAAGGCATAACAGCAAGGACAGAATCGTAACGTGCTCTGGCTAGCGAAAACACGCTCTGAATAAACTACAAGACTCACCCGTTTAAATATTCACTTAACTTTAAATTAGCATCCTGGCGAGGAAATGCGAGGGGAAGTGAGGAGTTCAGAAAAGATAACAAAAAGTTTAATAATTGGTTAATTGAACTAAGGAAAACCCTACACGGTAGGTAATCGCTTGTGAAACATCAGAGCAGAACGGAGTCTTGCTGTCCGTCAAACCATATGGAGTTACAAGCAGGAACTCAGCACGCGAAAATCTTCATTGAATTAGAGGTACCATGTAACTAATTGTTTGCTAAATACCAGGGTTGCTTACAAGTTATAAAATGTAAAAGATAAGAATAATATCGAATAAAACAGATCTTATGTAGAAAAGAAACTATTAGATAGATCTCGAATTTCATGTATCCTTAAAAAATGGCAACACTTCTGTCAATGAAAAATTTGCATGATTAAATTAATGCTAAATTCTTCTGATTTTAGTATAATTATTAAATGTGAAAAATTATAAGGTATGTAAATTTTCTGTATTGCAATATGATACAGCAGTTATGAACGTAACTGCTTGCATAGTTTAAAAAAAAATATCATTTAATACCAGTCTCTAATTGCTTGATATCTTTATTTTTGAGTCATTAATTGCTTTTATCTACACCGAAATATATCTTAAGAATGTGCTCAAAATGACTGCAAATTTCCTTCATGAATACATTGCAAAAAAGAAAAAAATTCAAGATCATACATATATAATATATGTAAGAAAATATGTGAGACATATCTTAGATATTATGCAAGATGTATCTTACATATTAACTTTCGTAAATGTAAGATAAAAATATGTAAATCTTTATAATTTAATTTAGTGATATCTTCTTAATTCCTCATTTTTAATTTGGGTATTTCCTCTCTATATTCTAAAAATAAAATGAACTTTTCTGAGCTATTTCTAGATTAATCTATGTCACATGGCTTGCGTAACGCTTATCATGTAGCTAATTCGATATAAATTACTAAAAATTTTAAGAACTAAAACCTTTTCTAACATAAATTTGGTGAGCCTCCGTATTAGATGATTGCGCACTTTAGCTTCTGCCTTTCTAGCTGTAATGATGCTTTTTTCGCTGTGCTCTCTTCCTATCGTAATAGCATTTAAAAATGTAAATGCTTTTAAATAGTCACAATTAGAGTGCCATGTAAATTGTGGCCCCTAATGTCAATTGAAATAAAAATGAATATTTAATTTTACTCGTCTGCCAAGTTTCATTTCAATATGGATCTACGTTCTACGCCATTGCTACGTTATTCTTCTATCGCACACACACGCATATAGATATATCTTCAAATTAGTTTAAATTATTTAATTATAATATGTAATATTTAAGTATACAGAGCTTTTCAGTAAGCAGCTTCCAAAGTATCAACCATAATTTGCGATATTCTCGTATTTTTTGCTCGGGAACATTACGTGTAGTTTACAGTTGCCACAGAACATAAGAATGTAGCATCCTTTACAGCGGAATAGAAATACAAACCTATGACCACTAAATTCCTTCAATGCGATACACTGCAATGTCAGTGTTTACTACTTACTTCGCTAATATTCCTTTCTAAGTTTTCTTATCAACACGGCTTTTTTTTTTTTTTTTTTTTTTTTTGGTAACCGTAATATTTCATGTATTCCTATAAGAAAAATTCGAGTGATGTCGATTCAATTGTGTGTAATTCTGTATTTTAGGTAACTCCTGCTGAATCCAGGGAGAGAAATAAGCACTGCCTTATCTTGAACTTTTTTGATCACCACGACATTTGGCATTTTCTTTCTAGTTGCGCATTATTCTTCTCATTTATGGTAAAATAGTTTTATTCTTCATTAGTGCTTGTTCTGTGTTGTGTCGTTATCGTATTCGTTTTATATTTGTACGGGTGTAATGATAAACCTTATTTTTTGATAAATGTCATTATAGCAAAGCTTGCCATAAAACTAGAGAAACGTTTTTTTTTGGTGTATATACTTCTTAAATCAATTGCTATATTAGTTTTTATAAAAATCTGGTGTATACACTGCATGAGTTCATTGTACAGAATATTAAATTATACGCATTTTTCCTGCATTTCATTTAAACTTATGGCCCACCAGCGGCCGAGCGGTAAAGACGCTGAACACTGGTAGTTCGGTCCGAGGTTCGAATCCCGCGAACGGGCTGGCTGCATGGGCGTTTTCGTGGTTTTCCCCATGTGTAACGTGTATACGAGCCAGTTTCCCTTGGAAAGTCCTCCACGAAAGGCATCCCTCCCCTTAGGCAGATAGCCCTAGTGTGCTTTGCCGTAATTAAATACACACACCATTTAAACTTATTTCAACGAATTTCATTAGAGATACATTTCTTATTCAATTAATTCAGTTCTCATTTCGCGGCAAGGCAAAAATGCATAAAAACTCAAAATATCTGCATTAAAAATCGAAAGACAGTAAAACATAAAACAATAAGCACAGTTAAAACAATTAAAAAACGATTTTTAGAACTAAAATTAGAATTTCTAAGTAAAACCAAGCAATTCAGCCAGTTTCCTTTTGGTGTCACTCGGCAAAAGGACAGGTGCAGAAAGACTTAATTCACTATTCAGCTAAGTTTCAAATGTAAACAAATATGGCTGCCATGGTAAGAAAACTTAGGCATAGGCGCACTTAAACAGCTTTCAAATTGATGATGATTCTACGATGGACTAACTAAATACATGCGGATTATCTAAAGGCACTAAAATCTTAACCGTAAAATAAGAGCAACATAATTCAATCATTTTTAAAGCAAAAAATGCGCAATTTGCCAACATATAAGAATAATAATAAAAAACATGAACTCACTAAGCCGAGTAACAGAGTATAATAAATTTATATTTAAATATGCTTTTGGTGCGGCCGGTTAGTACCAAAAAGGGAGGTGCACAACTATATGCTATAGCAGTCCCATATACAAAATTTCAACGTTCTGAGGCTACTTGATTTTGAGTTATGCGAGACACGTACGTACATACAGTCGCCACGAAAAAATCTCTTCTGAATCCATTTTAAATCAGTTTTATAATCCATTTGGGGCAAAAAAGTCCTTTATTCTGTCCTTACGTACAGATGTGGTGTGTAGGGTCAGGTGTATATTGTATTGGTTGGATGTATTGTGCTGGGTGTGTGGGTTGTCTTGTATGTGTTGGATTGTGTTTGGTGGGTCTGTTGTGTTTTGTGGGTTGCATTGGGTTGTTTGAGTTGGGTGCGTTGCGTTGTGTGTGCGAGAGAGAGAGGAAGGTTATCGCGGCAGTGACTCAAACCATTCGGTTGACTTCCATCCATGAGTTTCAGGATTTCTCCTAGCTGTTGTATCAGTTCCGCATTGTTGTCCATAATGTTACTCAAAAAGATATGAGCGTAATAAGAACTTGGCGTCAGATATAGGCTCAAAAAACTCCCAGTCTTAGAACTTACAGTAGAAATATCGTTGAATAAGTAAAATATGCATGTATGCAAGTTTATATTTTAATAAATATGATAGTTATATATTAATAATGAATACGAATTTTTGTGAAAAATGTGTGTTGCCCAAGCTGTTTCAATGCAAACTTTTATTGTTAAGAAAACATAATTTTTATTGTGTGTTGTATGCATTTTCTTGAGTATTCTGTTTCACATCTGTAATATCTAATTCTTATCAACAAACAGGCTTTCTGCCAAATAAGTGAAGTTTTCTCACTTCAGAATTGCGAATTAACAGAAAATTAAAAAATAACAATGGATCGTAACCTTTTGCGTATTTTAGAGATTTTTTTGTTGTATAATTCTTATGAGATACTTTTTTTTTTCTTATACTTTCAGGTTTTATTTACACTGGACGATGATCTAGTGAACACCAAAAGATCGGCAATAATTGTATTTTAAATGTTGCGGATTGTTGTATATTTGTAAATGTAATTAATTTGTTTTCAATAAATATTTCGTTAAACCTCAGGAATATCATGCTTCTTTCTGTTCAGAAATAGCTCACCTATATTCGGATCCAATCTAACCTGTTACACTAGAATTACTATGAACGATTACCAGGTTAACTACGACCAATTTATATAACTTTACACCCCTAATTGATTTAGTTTCATGCGCGTAAATATCACCATATTTAATTTAATGGAAAAAGGTTTTTTTTTTTTTTTTTTTTTTTTTTTTTTTTTTTTTTTTTTTTCCCTGTTGTTTCAGGATTCAGTGTTTTACACCTGTTGTATTCTCAAACAAATATTGCATTACATTAAACAGGTGCATTATTTTAATGCAGTGTTATTTTAAATAGTATCTTAGTATATCCATATAGCTTGGTAGTACATTTCGTTAAAATATTCTGTTACACTAAACATGGAGCATCCAAGACGCATTTACGCAAATTACGAATTAAATTATGACTTATTAATTTTGTCTTTCCATTTAAAATATATTATTAAAAGCCGCTTATTCAACGCAGAACAAGAAACAAGACGCACAGAACAAGAAATGATATATAGTAAGAATAAACCCCCTGGCGACTGGTTTGCTCAAAGCAAATCGGCCAGCCGGGCGCCATTGACCTCGAGAAGAACAAATGCAGCTAGTGCCGGCCGTCTAGACGCTTGTATCCAGATAGATGGCTTATACAGCTTTATAACTCTATAAAGCATTATGTAATATTGAAAAATTTGTTATATTGCATAGTTGAGGCGATAGTAGAATGCCAACTTTGAAGTAATTGGGAATCTAATTCGGAAGAAATTTTGCACGTTAAATATGTTTTTAATAAAGGGCAACCTTTCTGTACACAGGCGATTTAAATTTTTAAAAAAAGTGTTTTCACTCTATTGTACAATACTTTTATATTAATATTATTCATAACATCGGAAAATATCCATATCTATGTGACATAAGCTTTCTGTTAGAAATTTTAACAAGAGATTTGTGCCCCCAGACGGTATAGTGGTTAGGGGAGTAAACCGCTGAGTTGGCTTCCGTCCCAGGTACAGATATATCCATGCAGAATTGGTTATCAATTCAGCGGGAGTCAACCACTAGCTGCCATGCCGCAGCCCCGGCTGAGCAGACGACATTTATAAAATGCAAAAAAGAATTATACATGTGCATACAAGGCACTTGAAGAAGAGTTCAATTAAAGTATGTGTATATACATATATATATATACCAACTCAGGTACAGATATATATACACTTACGTACATATATATTCCGAAACAAATAAAAGTATACATACTTTCACTCATATTCATATATGCATCTATAATAAAATTTACATTATCATGATAGTTAAAGTTTACATGAAGCATGCCATTGAGGTACGCGTGATCCTTAGTATAATTTAGGTATCATAAATAAAAGATATAAATATGTACAGATACAGTAGACCTTTGTGTATGAAAACCTGGCACAGCTTAAATACAAAATTACATATTGAACATACATATCACATAGTCTGTTGCTGACATGTTGAACTAGCTTATATAGACTTTTATGGCTACTATCATCCAACGTCAGAAGAGTAATTGCTAGTACAGTAGTCAATTATTGTTTTCAGTTTCCGTTGGGCAACTCTGTTACTTTGTAGATTCTGGAACCAATTTGGCCAGAATCTGGCTCCTGGTTGAGGCTGTTAAGTGCTGTGTGTGGGTAGGAGAACACAAAATGGTCTGAATGACCCTCCTCCCTACATTCACAGTTACCATTCTCTCTCAAGCCAAAGCGGCAGAGGTGTGAAAGGAAGGGTCCATGATCAGTGAAGAAATAAGTCATGTAATTGCTATTAGTTTGGATTGTTGTCTTGACTTTGGGAATGAGATTGTAAACACGTCTCCCTGTGGAGGCTTGATCCCAACGTTCTTGCCATATTCTTAGGAGCTGATGGAATGTCCGACACTTTAGGTCAGAGACGGGCCTAAGGGTCGGGACTTCTCGCAAAGTGGATGAATCAGCTTCTTTCTTTGCGGCAACATCTGCTCTCTCATTGTCTTCTATTCCCGTATGAGCGGTCGCCCAGATGAGTGAGGGTCTTTGCGAAGTAGGCATGTAGGTTAGAATGTCTCTAATGCTGCTGACGATAGGGCTGCGAGAACGAATTCCAGCTATCGCAGCGAGGCTTGAGGCTGAGTCTGTGTAGATGATATTGGGCACTGTAGGATTATTCTTCAGGTGGAGAAGAGCTGCTCTGATTGCTACGAGCTCCGCCTGAAAGACAGTTTTCACAAGCGAGCTTCCTTTTCCACTCATACGTTAAAGCTCCTCTAGAAAGTATACAGAATCCGCTTCCCGTGCCCCGTGGAGTTTTAGAGCCATCAGTGAGTGGTTAAGTGAGCCTACTACGGTACCGAAGAGCCCAGGTTCGAATCCCGGAGAAGACATGGATGTTTGTAAATGTGTATTGTCGCTGCGCCATGGCGGCACTCTAAATATTCCAAGTTCCTCTCTAAGCCGCGATTAGCACACAGTAATTACGTGCTGTGTTCCGGCTGTCTTGATTTAGATGCTACTAAGAGCGCTGAAGGTAGAGAAATGCTTCAACTGAGCAATGCAGGAAGCTGAGATGTAGAAAGGGGTGTGACAAAAGTCACGTGAGCTCTGCGAAGATATCTGATTGGTGTTAAAGTATTCGTCAAAACGTAACATATATAGAATACAAGAAAAATATAAAATAAAATGCAGAGTAAACAGTAGAAAAACAATATTCTTGGTTAAATAAAGTTTATATACAGATGTACATAGTTTCAGAAAAGCTTGATTCCAGTAAAGGTATATCTGAATAGCGGTGTGCACAGGTCACGTGGGACGCCACCTTCCCAAGTGCTGGCTCTGATGAATGCTGTTTCGTTTTGGACTTAAAGTTCCAATAGTCACTAGATGAAATAGATAGCAATTCGTAGAAAAGTTCTGATTGCTATTCAGGAAAAAAGCAGCAAAAGGACGGAGATGTCTGTCTTCATCTAATATTTCATAATGAAATAGATTAAATAAATTCAGATGTTCACAGTCTTTAGCTTTCCTGAAGAACTTGTCATTTGTTTTGCGTAAGAAAGTATCCAGTGGCTCGACTTTTAAGTCCCTGTGGAGTACTTCGTTCCGCATAAAGTAGTGAGCACTAGTTATCAGTCTTAGAAAACTATTTTACACAACCTGAAGCTTGTTTAAGTCAGTTTTTGTCACAGTAGTCTAGGCTGGTGAGGCATACATCATGACAGGACGAATAGTTGAAAGATAGATTAATCTCTTTTTGGTGACATCAAGTTTTGAAAAGCGTCCTAACATAGGATACAAGCATTTCATTACATAGATGGCTTTATTTCTCACATTATTAATGTGGTTAGTCCATGTCATTTTACTATTCAGGGTAATTCCTAAGTACTTAGCATGTTTTCACAGCAGGTATGGGTTCATTAAACAATAGGAGTTGTCTCTTGAGATACTTTTTCTTTTTCTTTTTTCTGATGAGGAGTAGTTGAGACTCTGATGCATTAATTTGTACTTTCCACTTTTTGCACCAGTCTTCTATGAGAGGAATGTGGTCTTGGAGTTTTTTAACTGCATGATTCACATTTGCAGATTTCACCGCCAAAGCAGTGTCGTCTGCGTAACACGCTAAAATTGAGCTATTGTTGTAGCGTACAGAAGGAAAGTCCGCGACATAGAAGAGATAGAAAATTGGTCCTAATATACTCCCTTGAAGAATTCCACTGAATCGGACGTTCTGAAGAGAAGGCACCGTGAACAGAAACTACGAATTTTCTGCTGGTGATAAAAGAAAAAATAATTTTCAGGAGCTCACGTTCAAAGTTGAAATCAATAAGTTTCGCTCTAAGATCTTCATGCCAGACGCAGTCGAAAGCTTCCTCCACATCCATCATGAGGATAGCAACATTTTGATTATAGTGACTAGCTCAGCCTATAAACTTAGTAAATCTTACTAGTTGTTTGAAAGGTGAGCTCTGAATCCAAATTGTTCAGGGGACAGTAAGGTGAGATACGATTTCATTTTTTCCAGTAGAATTCTTTCAAAGGTTTCTAAATATGCGGTGAGCCTCTAAATATAAGTCCTCTCGTGTGGATTGGTAAAAGAGGAGAGAGTGGAACATCCTCCCCCCAAAGTGCTCTTCCTCAAAATTGGGGCTGGGAATTGGAAGTCCAACCTCTTTTCGAAATAGGTTCTGTCAACCATTGTTCCATGTAATATGGACAAGACAACAAGAGATTTCGTTTGCACGATTGTTCACGGTATCTTTCCTGGCCTTCAATTACACTCAGCTTACGAAACTTCGCGTAAATGTCATTCAGACTGCATCACTAAATTTGTAATGCTTCTACTTTCAGGATTATTTTTAAGTGAGCCATGTAAATTGGTAATGTGATTAACTAACGACGTATCTCAAATCCTACTGAACGCATTAAGAATACGCATTATATAATAACGAAAGCAAAAGGAAGCCAAATGCTAAATTTCCTTGAATTCGAATTCTGAAAGATCCGGGAATCTTCAAAATTTCAAACTTTTCGAGTCCTTCAGATTAGAATAATAGTATAAACAAAAATGGGAGAAATACTTAAAAATTAAACAAAATTTTAAATCTGCGTATAATTTCAAGTAGATTTAGGAATACCATATTCAAAAATACACTTATAATTTTAACGAAGATACAGCCAATGAAATACTCTTGAATCTTGAGAATCGTAGTGTCATCACAATTCTGCAAACATACAGGATGATTCGAAATGAATGCCACGAAAAGAAATTATACTTTTGATTGCTATAACAAATTTGTTCTACAAATGCGAGTAAAACATGAAAGTTTATTTCTCGATATTTTATTTGACAACACTGAATACTCGCCATTCCCGATATTTTCACTAGGCACTCCACTCTAATAGTCGAAATGACAATTTTAGCTGGGGAAAATAACAGGTACTCTTCTGTTATCAGGACCAGATTCAGAAATGT